ATTGAAGTTTTATTAACTAAAGTCTAAAGCCTAAATTTAACTGTGTGCACGTGACCATCCTTTCATTATCACTCACGATATGTTTCTTTTTATATGATATGTAATTTTACAGTAATTTTTTTGTTAATCTTTTTGTTTTTTTACAATAACATTGCTTTAATTTGAGATTACTCCACATTTATGTGTAGTTAACTGGTGATCTGGGACCTTTAGCCTGGTCAGATTACTGTGAATATTTTATATACATGACAATAGTTATTTTTTTAAATGTAAATTGTTTTTAAAGACCAGTTGTTTAATTAAAAAGTGCATGTATAAAGCTATTGCTTGTTTTGACACATTATTTAAATGGCTGGGAAATAATAATTTATTTATTTTTAGCTGTGGTCAGAGATAAATTTGGTAAATCCTTTTGAGCCCTGAAAAGTCATGTCAAATAAAAACTAATTGCAATGTGACAACCCATTTATAATAATAAATAGTTCAGCTAATAATTCAGGGGGGCTAGTAAAGTAAAAATTATGCCAAATCTAACTTTTTCATAAATATGTTTGTTTTATTTCAGACCTTCAAGTAAAAAGAAAACATGTAATTTTAACATTAACAACAGTTGTGCTTGGTTTTTGGCGGTGATCTCGGAAAACATCTAATGTGACACGTAGTTAATCCATCTTTCAAATGTTAGTGTTGCTGTTTGCTGTTGTGTATGCGTGTTTTGTGAATTAACCTCTGCAGTGGCCGTTTTGTTTTGTTGTATTGGAGCATTCTCCCTTAACAACAGAGCAGGGATTGGACGCTCTGCGTTTTGTGGGCGTGGCTTTAAATCAGAACCACCCAATCATCATAAGTGCCACTCTGCTTAGGGATCTTATGAAAGGCTGAAACTAATTATTACCATCTGCACTTTCAAGAGGAGCTGTTCTGTCATCCGTGGCCTAATTTCAGAGTGTTTATGTGAACAGCAGGAGTCAGATGAACAGTTTTTACTGTGGGCAAAGTGGACCTCGGCCAGCTGTAGTTTTAATTCTAGTGTTTGCTTTGGACAGTGGCGGTTGTTCGCAGAACAGTGGTTTCTTTCCAAACTTGATCCCCTTCACTTTACGAGCCACAATTTAGGATTGTGTAGGAATCAATCTAGTAATAAATCTGAGGCTATGATGTCAGCCTTTGATGGAGCTAACTGGGCTTTTCCAGCTCACCGCTCGACTGCAACCGGGAAATGGAGAAAATCTCAGAACTCAATACTCAGCTCTTTCCGCAAATCCAGTTTCCTTTACACATTTTTATAGTTACTGTTTTAAGCTAAAACTATACTTTAGATTGTTGTATGTTAGCTTACAGCATTTTACAGTATACCACATGTGATGGTTCCACATTTGCTTGACACATCATCCAGTGTCAGCTTTTTTTTTTCCAGAAGTTATGAGCAAGCAAACATGTTATGTTCATTTAAATATTTCAAAAATTAAAAAGATTTGAATTGTAATAGGTTTGCAAATATTTTTATCTTTTAATTATCATTTACTATATTTTTCATTTCTCATAACTCAAAACTTAATCTAACCGATAGACTATAACAATGTATAACCAGTATATAGGCCATAACTGATGTATAACCGATATATAGGCTATAACTAATATACAGGCCATAACTGATGTATAACCGATATATAGGCCATGGCAGCTGGATAACCGGTATATAGGTTATAACCAATATACGGGCCATAACCGATGTATAACCGATATATAGGCCATAACTGATGTAAAACCGATATATAGGTCATATCTGATGTTTAACCGATAAATAGGCAATAACTAATGTTTAACTGATATATAGGCCATAACTTATGTATAACCGATAGGCCATAACTGATGTATAACCGATATATAGGCCATAACTCATGTATAACCGATATATAAGCCATAACCGATGTATAACCGATATATGGGCAATAACTGATGCATAACCGATATATAGGCCATAACTGATGCATAACCGATATATAGGCCATAACTGATTTATAACCGATATATAGGCCATAACTGATGTATAACCGATATATAGGCCATAACTGATGTATAACCGATATATAGGCCATAACTGATGTATAACCAATATATAGGCCATAAGTGATGTATAACCGATATATGGGCAATAACTGATGCATAACTGATAAATAGGCCATAACTTATGTATAACCGATATATAGGTCATAACTGATGTATAACCAATATATGGGCAATAACTGATGCATAACTGATATAAAGGTCATAACTGATGTATAACCGATATATAGGCCATAACTGATGTACAACCGATATATAGGCCGTAACCGATATTTAGGCCATAACTTATGTATAACTGATATAGGTAATAACTGATGAATAACTGATATATAAGCCATAACTGATGTATAACCGATATGTAGGTCAGTATATATGACATTATTAAATAAGTTTTTTAAACCCTCCCTAATTAATTGGCCAATAATTTTTTTTTTCTTATCGGCCCGATAATAGTAAGATTATAAATACGCATTTATCGTCAGATACGGATAAGACTGCCTATATGTCAAGCATTATGTCTATTTATGTCCATTCACTGTCTGATCTCACTTCTTTGGTTTTATTGAATCAATGAAATTAGGTTAATCTTCTGTTTATAATGCAAAGCTATGGGGATTTTCTTTGCTTCTTTGTGAGTGTTTGGAGTTTCTGTCTGAGAGCGCCCTCTGGCGTTTGGAAGAGATATACTACTGATCAAACAACCGTGCTTCCCTGACAAGATGCACATGGCAATCACAGCTTTTCTTAATCACGTTTGCTATTTTCATTTCCATCAATCTCCTTGACCTTACTGAACATATAATACATAAATTATTGTAAAGTGATAAAGTTTGGTATCTACTCTCTATTGCCATCTACTTTCCTGCAGATATATGCATGCAGTATATAGCTGTTTTCCCACCATCGCGTCTGTGATAACCTGAGATCATTTTGACAATGCTAATAAAAAAGAACAGTGTATTTGTACCCTAGGCATCAGGGCTGATTATTCTTGAGTCATTCTTGGCCTCAGCCTGAAGTTTAAAGAATCGCTCAAGGACATTTAACCCCAGTGATCAGTCGTATAAGATTATTGTGAGTGGAAAGAATCTGCTGATCCAGGTGTCAAGCTCTGAATCTGTCAGCTCTCGGCTGCATGTGCTGGAATGTAATATTACGTCGATTTTTAAAAAATGTATTTTATTTTTTTTCCGGATATTGTCGTAAAATGAGGCATCCCGTCCAGAGATATTTGGTTAATAATATAGATTGTGAGATCACTGTTTTTCCTTTTTGAGTGTTTGTTTTAATTTAATAGGGGCTTAAAAAAGATTAACTGTTGATGTTGTTTTTGTAGTAGTAGTAGTAGTTGTTGTTGTAGTAGTTATTGTTGTTGTAGTAGTAGAAGTAGTATAGTAGTAGTTGTTGTAGTTATTGTAGTTCTAGTTTTAGTTGTAGTAGTAGAGTTGTTGTTGTAGCCGTAGTAGTAGTGGTTGTTGTAGTTGTTGTTGTTTTAGTTCTAGTAGTAGTAGTAGTAGTAGTAGGAATATAGTATTAAGTAGTTGTTGTAGTTCTAGTAGTGGTTGAAGTAGTATATTTGTAGCAGTAGTTGTTGTAGTTCATGTTGCAGTTCTAGTTGTAGTAGTAGTAGTAGTAGTAGTAGTAGTTGTGGTTGTTGTAGTTCTAGTAGTAGTAGTTGTTGTAGTAGTTGTAGTTATCGGAGTAGTTGAAGTTCTGGTAGTAGTTGTTGTAGTAGTTCTTGTTGTGGTTCTAGTACTAGCTGTAGTCGTTTAGTTGCAATTACACATCTTTCATATATATATATATAGTAGTAATTGTAGTTGTAGAAGCAGAAGTAGTAGTAGTAGTTGTTGTTGTAGTAATAGTAGTTGTAGCTGTAGTAGTAGTAGTTGTAGAAGCAGAAGTTGTTGTTGTAGTAGTTGTAGCCATCGTCGCTGATTTTAAAAGCCATATTTATTGCTATAGAATTAGAGATTTTTTTTTTTTCTTCATTTTTAAGTTTGTAATTTTATTGTTTTTTATTCTTTTGTTTTTATAATATTAATAATGTTACACTTTAATTTAGAAGTAATAAAAAAAATCTTGTGTATAATATATTTTAGTTTTATGATCTCAGTTGAACTTACTGATAATGACCGTTAATAAATATTTAAAGAATTGGATAGGAGAAGATTATTGAGCTGGTTAATTACATTTTACACAATTATTGACTAAACCAGCAATTTGAATGCATAAATTAAAATGTATACACTAAATAATAATAATGATAATAATAATAATAATAATTATAATGATAATGATACATTTTATTTATAGAGTACTTTTTTAAGTAAATTCTCAAAGTGCTACAGAAAAATTACGATGAAATAATTAAAAAAAAACAAGGTAAAAAAACAGAATTTACCCACTTGTGCTATACATTTACTGCAACTCATTTTTAGTTTCAGTCAGTGCATTATAACCCAATTTTGAGTTAGCATATCTTATTTATATTACATGCAATGACAGCTCAATTTATTAAATTACTTTTCTTTTTTTATAATTCATACTTTTTTGTTTTTTTAGTGTTTCAACATCAGTTTACAAATCTTTTAGGTCATTTTTATTTGCTACTATTCTTTGTAAATTCAAAGAAGCTTGCTTGTAGAATACAAATATGAAATAATTATGTACACGATACCCTTAATTTGTTTTTGTCTCATCTATATAATTTAAAGCCTTTCTATTTCCTTTCTTGCCTAGAATATGCTAATAAAAATCAGTAAAAATGCAAATCCAAACACCTTAACAATCACGTAAGTAACACACTAACAATGGGAGAGTTTGTCTAATTGGAAATTTGAATCTAATTAGCCAGCAAAATAAAATATAATTACTGTGTTTATATATTAAATATAATAATCATAATAATTATCTTTTACATCATTTTCCAGGCATACGCTCGCTTTGCTGGAGCTCCACTCAAAATTCACAAGATCTCTAACCCCTGGAGAAGCCCTACAGGTAAGTAGGCCTAGATTTAACAATCTGTTTCTTGGCAAAGTCTCCATATTCATTAAAGTGGTTTTGTTTAGTGTGCGCTTTAACTGAAGCAAACAGGCCTCTTCCTCTTTCCTGCCAAGCTGCTGATAACTTGCATCTGTGGGTTCTCTCTTTTCACGTTCTTGTCTGTCTCCATTATTATTTCCTTTGGCTCCCACATTTTCCCCAATTGATCCAAAATATTCCATATTGAAGACCAGTGCTACCTAAATAGTTTGTACCTGGCAGACTTTCCTTGACTAGGAGCAACTTATGTACTTTGCCATTAGAAATTAAACCTAGATTTAAGACCATCTAAAGGATAATATGCCTTTTTCTAGCATTTAAACATGTTGGAAGCTCCTCTTCGGGTGGCTAAATTTTCATTCAGTTTAATTAAAGGTCGCCTATTTTGATGAGATGAGACTTTGGTGTCTCCAGAATGTGTCAAGTTGTGTTTCGGCTCAAAATATTCAACAGATTATTTATTTCATAATGTACAATCTTCCCATTTTTGTGTCTAAGGACAATGTAGCGGTTTTGTAGCCTGTGGCTTTATATTCGAGTGAGCTGCTTTTCTCCGCCCACTGGTCCGACATGCGTGTCTGCTTCTCATGCATTATGTCAGGTAAACAGCCGTCAGTGATAGAGACAGCCTTGGTGGAAGCTAAAATACAGCTCGTTGGTCAAAAATACCAAGTAAATTTAGTTGATGTATTTGTGTTAATTCAAGCCTTCCTGAAATGATGAGTCTCACACAAATGCTGTATGCTGTACACACGCACAAACCCACACACATATACTGTATGCACATTTACTGATACCATGCGGCCGTGGTGATTATAGTGGTTAAGAATTACATGGCGATTTTACCCTCTTTATTACAATCATAAAATTAATTGTTGAGGTGCAGCTGATCACAGAGACTTGTAACATGTTTTAATCCCAGTTTCTTTGCAAAAAATGTTCTGTAGACATTCGTTTACATGTTATTATGGAGACATACTGTAGCACCTGTCAATCATTTCGGTAGGCGGTGAAAACCACAATCCTACGTCATGTTGCAGTGGGCCTCAAAATCACTGGCATTTGGATCCTATTTTAATGTCAGAAGTTTTTTTTAAAAGAGACTTGTTGTGTTTCTAATACTCCAATATAACTGTGGACACACTATATAGTACCTGCACACAGTTCTGTCCAAACAGCATACAAAAGTTGATTTTCATTATAGGTGCCCTTCAATTAAGCTATATAATACAGTTGCTTTTAACATATTAATAGACAGTTATCTCAAATCATTAGTTGCATCCAACATAAAAGGTTATATCTACAAAAAATACGTTTATATTCTGTGAAAATGTATTATATGCACAGGTATGTGTCAGCCACTAGAGTACATTTGATTGGTCAAGATTTGATTAGAATCAAGTTTGAGGTGACGTGAAAAAAATAGTTGATCCATGGCACTGCAAGCATTACATGTTCATATCAGTTTTATATTTTCTAAATGTGAGTTTTGTTATTGTTTTGGAGCAAACTAGCTAATAGATATCCATAAAAGAAAAAAAAAAAAAAAAAAAAAAAAATATATATATATATATAATCATCTTTGTAGCCCTGATAAAACCTTGGCTTTAAAATCATTCAGGCAAAAATGTGTTTACTGATTCTGATGTCTTCACCGAAGGTTCACTTCCAGCTCTTAGGACCAAGGATGAAGGCAGCTGCTCACAACCCAGTCAGATCATCATTCAGCTGAGAAAACAGGTGATTGTTTTCTCTCTTTAATGCTGTCAGGATCAAATTTTTTTCTTCTTTACCAAGCACTGCTCATAACCTCCAGTGTAATTCACTTCATGGGCAACGTTTGATGTGCTGCCTTATTTTCTCATTAATCATGTTCGATTGCACAATGAAAGTATCCATTAAATTTGAATGGAATGAGACACAGTAAACTTGGGTTTTCAGGAAAGGATTTAATTATGTGCGTAAGTAAAACATTTCCTAGGAACATGTTTTTTGCGTCTCATTCTACCTGCTGGTAGTGCTGTTCTACTCAGAGTTGTTTACAGTCAGAGTCTGGTTGCATCATGAAAATAAAGCCAATAGGTTTTAGTTAAAGGGGTGCTTTTTACTAATATCAAAAATTATATATCTCGATATATACCTGTTAGTCAAAGAATTTCAAAATTTCCCAATTTAGGTTTAACAAGCAAATTAAATTTTCTCTTATAATATTTTAATGGGGGTAAAATAATAATAATAAATTTGGCCAATAATATTGGCCCTATTATTAGCAATGTTATTATTAGGAGATATATCTACAGAACAAATAAACCCCTTTTATCCAATGACTTGCTATTACACCCGAAGTTTAGGGGAAACGACATGGGCATAATAAAGGAAAAGTTTGTAAGTTTGTTGTAAATGGTGTATTTTCCAAAGGGAAACAAACAAACAAACAAAAAAAAAACTTGTGCAAAAGATCACAATAACAAACAAAAGAATCTGCAAAGTAAATAAACTAAATAACTTTAGTCTAGTCTAGTCTTTAGTCTATAACAAAATGTTAATAAATAAGCAGGCCACCCCTACAAGCTCAAACTCTCAAAAAGTTGCAAGCATATAAGGACATTTGTACAAGAATAAAGTTTTGTTGTCGGCCGGAGGGGTAGGGAAATCCTGGAGCTCTCCACTCCCAACAACCGTCGCACCAAAAATGAGCTCATTGAACTCTCCCGGAAGTTCCCTTTCATAGCTCTCCCCGATCAGCAGCCAATCAGAGCCCGACCACAATAAAATGGGAGCCTATTGGATAACAAAAAACAAAAGAAGAAGGTGGGACAAAGAAAAAGACACATGCAATGCGCTAGGCATGGGACAATAACCGGTTTCAAGGTTTACTGCGGTATGGAAAAGTCAAGATTACCGCTAAAATGCTTTCTTATAATGTTCCTATGGTATATGAATTTTTTTTTTTAATGTTTTTTATGTGTTGTAAAGAAATATTTTTTTTGGAAAATAATGAAGAGAGCAGATGTCAATGATTTACTTGTAATTATTTAGTCTGACATGTTTACTGTTCCAAAATATTATAAATGTTACCTAAAATAAAATAAATTGTGTTCAAGTTAAACATGTTTATTTAAGGTTTTCAAAAAATTGTACAATGTGCTTTTACAGACATAATCAAAGGCAAGTTTTACAAAAATGTGCAAAGAATTGTAGGAATTGTAGTAATCCTTAAGCCAGCAGGTATATGGAGGTAAGGGGAAAAAAAAGGAAAAAGGGAAACGTCATACTATCTATAAGTGTCAATATTGGCAACCAATTAGTCATATAGTCCCTGGAAAGGCACACAAAACTAAATATATATTTTCCTCATCACAGCACATTCCTAATAATATGGACATGTCATTTGAAAAAAAGAACATTAGAACAGAACAAAAGAAGATAAAAAAGCAACAAAAATAACAAACAAAAAACAAAAGACCATTCTCTGAGCCTCTGACAACCCTCCTCTACAAAACAAAAACCTAATTAACACACAAAACTATTTCCCTCACATGTGAGGGATAAATTGTGTTCAATGGACGAAAAAAGTTTTTGTTTATTGATTAATCAGACATTTTAAAATAACTTATTTTAGATCAGTAATCACAATACCATGATACCGTAAAACCACGGTATTTTTATCCATCGTATCGTCAGAAATTTATACCGGCTCATGCCTACAATGCGCAACCAAAATAAATAAATAAACTCGTAACACGTTCCTAATTATCCTAACTAGCCAAGTTAACCTAATTTACCTCGTTAAGTCTTTAAATTGCACTTTGAGCTGAATACTGGTTCTTGCAAAATAAAAAAGATATTATACTTTGCCACTCTGGCAAATAAAAAAAATAGTTATTAGAAATTAATTAATAAAACTAATAAAAAAATTATATTATGTAAAGAATTTGTTGAGAAAATCTCCTCCTTTAATCAGCACTTTTTTAATTTCACAGGTCTAAAATGTCGACTTTAACTGAACATATCACAGTGTCTTGCAATTAATGCTTAATGTTTGGTTTCCCTATTTGTTCTATTTCCAATTTTGAAAAATGTTTTTACTGCAGTGTTAACAGTGTAAATTTGTCTTCTAGAAATTTAATGCAGACTACGATCTCTCGGCCAAAGAGGGTGCAGACACACTGGCCTTTATCTCTCTGCTGGAGGAGCGACTGTTGCCGGCGCTGGTGAGATACGCATCATGAAACTCCAAGAGGAAAGTTTTTTTTGTCGGGTACATGCTCAAGGTTTCTCCTCAACTCTTAACAGATCTACGCATTATGGATTGATCCTAAGAACTATGTGGAAGTGACACGCCGCTGGTACGGAGAGAATATGAGCTTCCCTCTTAACTTCTTCCTGCCGGGCCGCATGCAGAACAGGCAGCTGGAGCGACTCCGACTGATCCGAGGAAACGGCACACTCGAGGCCGGAGAAGAGGCAGAGAAGGAGGTGAAATGGAAAAATTTGCAAATATGTTTTCTTTTCCACCTTCAAGAGTTATTCCTTGTTTTAGATTTGCAGATTGTACAGTAACCTAACAACGTATTCCAGAAACCAAGGTGAACTTACCATCTGATAAAACCAAGAGAGTTGCTAGACATAAAGCTCTACTAGGGTACAGGACCCCCTTACTCTTATCACAGATCTTTCTTTTCCATATAATTTCAGTGAGATCTTGGTATTTGTAACTAACAATTTCTTAAAGATCTATTTCTGTTCATTAAGCACATCTGAAATGTAATCCTTGAGGTTGATTTATTCTTCTGCTTCAAGTGCACGTGTATGGTCCGGCACAGCCTTTACATGGTTGCATACCGTTCGCCATGGCTGACTAGTTGTCATGACAGTTAACCTACTCTGCATCACCCCCTGTGATTGCAAATAACAGTTCAATGGGGAGTGCATCAAATATGAAATCCTACGCAACTCGTGGCGGTACGTTAATAACTGTGATGGTTGGTTTAAGGATTGTTAAAGGTGTAGACGTTAAGGGTTGTGGTAGGTGTAGATGTTAATAACTGTGATGGTCGGGGAAGGTGTAGATGTTAATAACTGTGATGATTGGTTTTAGGGTTGGGTTGGTGTTGGTGTTGACTTTAACTATGATGGTTGGGGAAGGTATAGATGTTAATATCTGTGATGATTGGTTGTAGGGTTGGGTTGGTGTTGGTGTTGACTTTAACTATGATGGTTGGGGAAGGTATAGATGTTATTATCTGTGATGGCTGGGGTTGTTGCTGACGTTAACTATGATGGTTGAGTTTAGGGTTGGGATAGGCATAGACATTAAAAACTGTGATGGTTGTGTTTAGTGTCAGGGTCTGTGTTGATGTTAATAACTTTTACCGTTGGGTTTAGGGTTGGGGTAGGTGCATACGTTTATAACAGTGAAGGTTGGGAAGGTGTCGACTTTAATAACTGATGGTTGGGTTTAGGTTTGGGGAAGGTGTAGACGTTAATAGCGATGATGGTTGGATTTAGGTTTGGGGAAGGTGTAGACGTGAATGGCTATGATATTTGGGGTAGGTGTAGACGTTATAACGGATGATGTTTGGGGTAGGTGTAGAACGTCTCAATGATGACGGTAGGGTTCAGGTTTGGGGTAGGTGTAGATGTTAATAACGATGATGTTTAGGGTTGGGGAAGGTGTAGACTTTAATAACAGTGATTTTTGCATTTACTGACTGTTGATGCAGAAGTGTAAATCAGCCTTTAGAATGATTTCTGCATAAATAGTAGAAATCGATATTGTAACTTAAAAATTAGCAGTCTTTACTGGGCCATGTGGCCTAGTAAATAGGGTCTAGCAATGCCTCTGGCTAAAACCTAAACTCATCTCGGTTCCAAAATTTGTAATTGGTGTAAGTTCAGGCTTGGACATCCCACTCGAGATCTGACACCACTTAGGAACCGTCTGAAGATCACGATTCATTTGTTTGGCTCACAGTTATTACAGTGTTGGGGGATAACCCGATTGACAATCTTTTAATCCTTTAATCTAAAAAGAAGCCATTACTTTCTTAAGAATAAAGTTAATCCCTGTGAATCCTCCCGTTCTGGGAAACACCCATACACTCTCTCATTCGCACACTATTGCCAATTTAGTTTATCCAGTTCACCTAAACCCAGTTTGTGGGAGAAACTCAAGCACCTGCAAGGGAGAACATACAGAAATGCCACCTGGCCCAGCCGGAATCATTCATGCCATTCTTTTCCTAACTCTATTAATGATAATATTTGGTATAGGTGGTGTTTGTTAGGCCTGTATGCAAGTAACACATCACTGGAAAACTTCCATACACACTCATTCACACACATACACTATGGACTATTTAGCTTACCCAATTCACCTATAGCGCAAGTCTTTTGACTTGTGGGGGAAACCGGAGCACCCGGAGGAAACCCACTCAAACACGGGGAGAAAATGCAAACTCCACACAAAAATGGCAACTGACCCAGCCGATGCTCGAACCAAGGACCTTCTTGCTGTGAGGCGAATGTGCTACCCACTCCGCCACCATGCAGCCTTAATAATAATTGTGCAAGATAAAACTTTCATGAATGCCAATTACGAGCATTATTTTAATAGTGTTTATTGTGCTTAATGCATCTTTTTTATGTGGTGTGCAAAATGTATAATTTAGACAGAGTGGGTGGGCCATCTCTGACACTAACGCCCTCTGAGAGACCGGAGAGTCCAGCCAGAGGCAACAGTGTTCTGGTCCCTGAAGAGGACACAGATAAAGCAGCAGATGTGAGGAATCTGGGCTCAGACGGAGCAGAAGTTCCGTTCTGGCAAGAGTTTTGTTCTAGCAAGATGATAATCTGGGGTTAGGAAACAACTCTGTTTATGACACTGAGAGTCATAATATGGATTGCTTAAGATACATTTTTAAATGACTCTAATGCAAAACTGTGATATTGTGGGAATCAGAGCAGACATGAAAACTGTTGTCTATTGTTTTTTTGCATACCTGTGTAAATTGTAAAAGCTTCTCTCACAGTATTTGATTTCGTGAATGTTTTTGTTTCTCTTCAGCTTTACCATGATGCTCTGGAGTGCCTGAATCTTCTCTCTCAGCGCCTGGGATCAAACAAATTTTTCTTTGGAGATTCGTAAGTTCGATACTTGTGTTACATACAGTATTGGGTAGGTTACTTTAAAAAAGTAATTAATTGCTAACAATACATTTGTATTTGAATAATGTTTCTAATTACTTTGTTGGAAAAGTAACTTATTTACTCAAAAATTAATTACTTGACTAAATACTACAATTTCACACAAATCTCAGTGCATAGACAATAGACATTGAACTCTTCATTTTTTAAATTCAAGTCAAACAGGTCTTTTTAGTTTAGTATTTTTTTTTTCTTCTAAATATCACATCAATTATAAACAGAATATGGATCAAAACATAAAGGGCCCTATCATACACCCGGCGTAATGTGGCGCAAGGCGCAGCACAATAGTCTTTTGCTAGTTCCAGCTTGGTGCAAGAGTCGTTTTGATGCATTGCGGTAAGCTGTTTAAATAGCAAATGCATTTGCGCTCATATGTGTGCCCATAGGCGTTCTGGTCTAAAAAGGAAAGCGTTCTGAGGTGTATTGCTGGCGCGTTGCTATTTTGAGAAACTATAATAGATTTTTCAATAGACCAAAACAAACCCGGTCTAAAGTCAAGGGCAAAGTTGCACCTCGCTTATACACTGCTTAATACAGAAGATGTAGAGCAATACGCAAATATCTTTACATATGAACAATATAAAATATTAAGGATATATATATATATATATATATATATATATATATATATATATATATATATATATATATATATATATATATATATATATATATATAGGATATAATAAGAATATATATATATAGGATATAAATATAAAGGATTAAAATATTACAAAAACATATTATTTTCTAGCCTACATAAATATGAAAAAACACTGCTTTTATGCCTTCTTCATCACAGGAGGCTTTTTCAGTTCATTCATGACAATTTGCTTTTGTATAATGTTATTATTATTAGCAGTATTATTTATTATATCCATAGTTATATTTGTTTTATTAAAAACAAGCTTAGATTTGCCCACCAGGTTTTAGACCATATGGGGCACAGCATGTGTTTTAGTATATAACTCAGGTTTTTGAACACACTTTGTTATTATTGTTCATTTATAGGTTTGCTGGAAATTAGAACTGAATTTAGAAATAGTTTTGAAACAAATATTTGCGCTTAACAAACAAAATTAATTATTTATAGGCTAATTGATGTCTGTGCGTAATGGTTTCCCTATCCACGAGAGCGAAAGTGAAAGTAAATCATTTATCTCTCATTCTCAGTAGATGCTCTGTTTTCTGTTTAAAAAAAACTGTTAACTGTTGGCTTGTGAAATGCTCAGTTTTTCCATGTACACTTACTTTACGTCCTGTAAATAGCGAATGCGCTTATTTCGCGACTCAAGGCTCTTAAAGGGAATGGCATATGAGACTCTGATTGGCTTATTCTCAAAACACACCTATAACTCATTAAGAAAATAAACTCAACCCTTTTAGATCATGCGCCACGGCGCAAAGCGGATTTTTCCGTTCTTAAATTAGCAAAAATGCATTCTGACATGCCCTGAAAGCGTTTGCACCCTGCGATTTGTGCATGGACTGTCAAAATAGAACCCAAAATGTTTTAAATTATACCATATTTCAAACATCATAAATTGGCATAAATCTACATTTCACTAGCTATGTTTCCATTCACCTCTTATGCGCATTTTGCAAATGTGCATAAAAAAATGGTTGATGGAAATGCCACGATGCGCATAAAAACATGTGCATAACTGAGTAGGATAAACTTTTTATTTGATGAGAAAAGATGCGCATAAACTAAGATGAAAACACTTTTAACGCACAAATTTTAGTATATGCATTAAAAAAAGTAATGTGATTTTGTTATAAAAGATCATGTGATGATAAAATGTTTGTGAATGAACAAACCAGCAGGCTGAGCACACTGTAGAACATCTGAAATGTTGTTTTGGAAATTCTAAAATGCCTTAAAGTTTCAGTATTAGCGTTATTATATTATTAATAACCTCCAGAATCAAGAGTGTCTGTGCTCCACATCTGACACCTTCAAACACCACTGCGCGTTTACTGCGTGTCAGGATTGCCCTCTGAGGCACAAGTCATTTATTAGGTGAAGAAAATATTGACACAGCTTCTCCTACTGCAGAACATTCAGTTTTCAATGTTGATGTTTTGCGCCAGTTAGTCAGGAAGTGACGATTTTATTTGACTCATTAGATGGAAACGCTGCTTTATTTGCGCATATTTTATGCATTAATACAGTTTTGCGCATAAAGTTCATTATCATTTTTTGATGTTAACATAGTTATTGTTTCTTAAACGTGCAGTTTTTGGACAAATAAAACCTCCTTCAGTTGACAAATTGAGCTAGTATGCAAAATAACGTTACAATAAAAACATTTTTTTACTATTGCTCTGATTCTTTAAATGCATACCTTATATTGTCATTAACTAATTTCTCGATAATTTAAGCGTTTACAATTGTCTTAATAAATTATTTTTTGCTAAATATACAGTATATTATTTTGCTTCTTTCAGTTGATTCTTACGGAACTGTTAAATTTATGTACAGTATTTAAGGCAAGTAAATAACAAGTAACTGTAATTAAATGACCTAAAAAATAATAGTAATCCCATACTGTATCATTTAAATGACAACTAAAAACCCATCTTTTCCACTATAACCTGAGAACTTAAACACTTAGACTTTACTCTAGCTTTCATTTTCTGAGCCTTGTCCCTGTGTATAATTAGCCCTTGTGTGTATTGCCTCTTTATGAATCGCTGAATGCCTCTTTATTTGTAAGTGGTTTTTGGATAAAAGCATCTGCTAAATGACTTAATGTAAATGTTACTTTTTCAGCACAGGGTTCCCACACTTCTTGAAAGTACTTGAATTTCAGACATTTGTACTCAAGGTCTGAAAAGTACTTAAAAACAAACACTGGTCCTGAAAATGCTTGATTTTAAAAGTGATTGTGTTTTTTCAACAATTGTACTGTGCTGCTTTCAAAAACTGAAGGAAAATCTATGAAATTCTTAATTAAAAAATCTTAAGTTTAAATCTTATACAAGAACTATAATGCTTTTCATCTAGAATTCATAATCTGCACTTGAATACTGCCAGTATAGATTTCAACTTAAAGTACTTAAAGTATTAAAGTGTTTTGAACATGACTGTTTCAAATGGTCCACAATTTTTGAAAATGGCACATTCATTCATTTATTCGTTTTCTTTTCGGCTTAGTTCCTTTATTAATTGGGGAGTCGCCACATCAGAATGAACCACCAACTTCTCCATCATATATTTGCCCTTCCAGCTGCAACATCATCATTATTGTGACATTTTATTGTAATTATTAACTTCAAGTGACATGTTAGGTACAGGAAGTACTCTTGTGGTGCTTTATACACTCACTGGCCACTTTATTTTTGTCTAACTGTTCATTAGCGCAAATTTCTAAACAGCCCATTACATGGCAGCAACTCAATGCATTTAGGCATGTAGAAATGGTCAAGACGATCTGCTGCAGTTCAAACCGAGCATCAGAATGAGGAAGAAAGATGATTTAGGTGACTTTAATCGTGGCATTGTTGTCGGTGCCAGACGGGCTGGTCTGAGTATTTCAGAAACTGCTGATCTACTGGGATTTTTTTAAAAATTAGACAATAGAAAATTGGAAAAACTGTTGCCAGGCCTTGTCTTGATTTCTGCTGTGGCATTCAGGTGGTAGGGTCAGAATTTGGTGTTAACAACATGAAAGCATGGATCCATCCTGCCTTGTATCAACGGTTCAAGCTGGTAGTGGTTGTGAAATGGTGTGGAGGATATTGTCTTGGCACAATTAAGTCTATTAGTACCAATAGATCATCGTGTCAACACCTACCAGAGTGTTCTTGCCGACCATTAAAATTATTAATGGTTTTAAAAGTCTTTGAATTTGGTGTCCATAAAAGAGTGGGAACCCTGTCAGCATAAATGTAATTTAATTTTTGTAACTACTTTGTACACAACACTGTTTACATAATAGCCCCAACAAACAGTGATACCTGTAAATATCAGGAAAATTGCTGGAACGACTTTACCAGTATATTAAAAAAGTTGTTTACACAGACAAGGGCGTTCCGTAATTTTTCCGGAATAGACCATTCACACATCTATTCCAAAATACTCGTTATTAATCATTAACCAGAAATGCCCTATAAACGGCCGCGTTTGTATTTGTCAACATAGATAGGTCTGCCTTTTCTTGATGGTGTCACTCTTATTTAAAGCTTTAGCATTCATGCAGTTGCTTTGTGAGACATCTAAAGGCAAAATCGCGAGCCGCAGCTAAATGTTTACACACTTGACCACATTACAAATTATGTGGATGGATAAGTATTGTGAATAACTTATATAAAAACATGTGGAGGAACACTTTCACATATCGAGATGTTCATAATATGTACGTGTGCTGGCGCTCACCGGTTCCTTTATGTGCACACGTGACGCGCCAAGCTTGAAGGTAAACAAACAGCGGGTTATCGTAAGCATTTTATTGATACTTTTTTACACAGTTGGCATTAAGAAGGAACATAGAAACGTTATCTGAACAACTAGCAGCTAGATGTGTCTGGAAAAATATTCAAAGGCTTTTATTTTCATAAAACTGTGCGCACGTGAATGTGTCTGAGTGTTCTGATTGGCTAAAGTAGACGTCTCACGTCAGCGTCTTCTTGGACTTGAACGTGCTCTTTCCGGCAATTTTCCTTCTGCGTTCACACAGCGCAGCATTCTGGCAAATAACCGGTAATTTTACAACTTCTCCTTCCGGAAAATTGTCCGAAGAAATTTACCAGTACATCCAAAGAGGGCCTGTTCACACATACAGAACTTTCCGAAAAATTGCTGGTAATTTTCGGGAAACATCTGTATGTGTGAAAGGGGCAAATGTCTATAAAGGCAGATATTTGAGCTACTTTGCAAGACTCTGTGTTGAATTTGATGAACACTTGCTGTCTTTTCTGTATTGAAGGCCATCTTCTCTGGATGCGTATGTGTTTGGTCATCTAGCGCCGCTTTTTAAGATCCGGCTGCCTAACTGCAGACTACAGCAGAACTTGAAGAACCTGGACAACCTGAACACATTCTGCTCTAACATACTGTCTCTCTACTTTCCCAATGAAAGTATAGGTAGGTGACCAGCGACCACAATAAAGCATTTGCAAAGAACAAACCCCTGCTTTTTTCTGTCTGATGTTGGGTGTGTTCTGTGTTCAGAGGGCGTCAGTCGTCCGGTGTCCAGCACGCAGCCGGGAAGCGACTTGGACAATGAGCCATACAAGAGACGCAAGCAGCTGCTGTCCGTGCTGGTTGCGGTCGCAGCTATGTTGAGTTATGCACTATTCACCGGCATAGTGGCTATTGAGCATGTGCAGGAGGAGGAGCCTGTAGGCTCACACATAGGCCCCTCCCATGAGGAAGAAGAGGAGGTGTGAAGGAAACGAATGAATGAAAGTAGGGCTTTCTGTTAGTTGCACTGGGATGTTCACTTCAACATGATGCAGAAACCGTATTGTTGGAGATATATGTTTTATTTATTCATTGACTTTAGCTTTAATTGCATGATAATCTTTGCTTTTATCTAAATTTTTTCCCTATTGAGCTGCACTTGCTTTAATCTCTTGACTGGGTATGTTGAAGGGTTTACTTTTTCTGAAATAATGTAATTCGGTCTGTACTTTAATTTTAACGTCCATTTCCTGCAAATATTTTAGTGCTGTTGAGCACGTACTAAAACACTGCTGATGCCATTTTGTTCACCTGCTTAACAGAAATGACTATGATTGGCTGTGAAGCTCATCAGTTCCCCAAACTCACCACTGTTTGAGTGTAACCACAGATACAGGGACACTGGAGCGTTTCAAAGTCACGTGGATAAGCTGGTTTGTCTATAAGCTTAGATACAAGCGATCTGCTGATGAATCACTGCTTTTAAAACGCTCCAGTGTCCCTCTATCTGTAGTTAAACTCAGTAAAAAGTTCAGCGAACTGATGACCTTCACGGCCAATTACAGTCATTTCTGTTGAGTATGCAAACACAATAGCATGTCAGCACTGTTAACGAACTCAACAGTACTCAAATGTTTATGTATCAAATTTCAGTATCGATTGATATCTAATTCCAGTATCACGACAACCCTACTTTGTAGCTTATATATTTCAGATGAGAAAGCACTTGAGAGCTGAGGGAAACCCTAAACTTTAATTGTGTGGACCAAGACCTTAACTCTAGAGAGATTTAGACTCTTTTTACAGCTTTATGATATCACGAATATGTATCTTATAAGTGTTTGCCTCATATGTATTGAAATTCAGACCGTGTTTTTCTTGCTTTAACGCACAATTTCATCCACACTAGTTTTTTGGTTATACTACAGTTCCAGTTTGAGTCGAAGAAGATCTCTGAGAACAAAATCGTGTTGATTCAGATTACATATTTTGTAGATTTGCTGATTCCTGCACAATGAAAATATCTAGAATTTTTAATTTTTACTGTGTTAATAAAACAGCAGTAAACCGTGTATGTACTATTTTAGTAATCTGAGCTATACTATCTATAATTTGCATAATTAATTGCTAAAGATATTCCCTTTGGGTAGTATTTGTACATATTTGAATTTAGAGCAGCACGCTTGGTCACATGATGTATGAACTAATAGGATTTGCCATTACTAATTTGTGTACTGAACATTTGGATATTAGCTTATAACGTGCAAAACCTACAGGTTTACAATGACCAAGTGTGAGTCAATGATTATACAAGTTATATAAACATTTTCATTAATATTTCCGTCTAACTAGAAAAGGAACTCATGTGAAAATTGCTCACTGATGTCATTTTAGATAATAAAGCCAAAAGATACTGTCCAATGAAGTCTCGCTGACCATACCTGGCAACACTCCCACATTCCCGGGAGTCTGCTGTATTTCAGACCCATCTCCCGTCACCCTCCTGTTTTGTTATTTCTCCCGGAAAACACTTAATTCCATCGATCCCGTAAACCCCCTACCACCCCCATCTCCCTTACCCCCACCACCCCCACCTGGCCTCTGCTTTTTGGTACAGTCTATAACACCGCCGGATTGCTGAATGGTATATATGATCGCTGCCCGAAACCTGGCGCATAGTCTAATTACTACTGTGTTATTCAAACACCTTACCCCTGACACCCCACCCCCCACCGCCAGTTCTCCCGAATTTTCACAAACAAATGTTGGCAGGAATGTCGCAGACAGACCGCAAAACTTGCTAAGTTTCAGTTTCTGTAACTTTCTATAAGGGTCCTTGCAAATGTTGTCATATGTTCTGTATTTTTTTCTTTCTAGTTAAACTATGTTTGAGAGACAAACAGTGGGTATGTATAAATAGCTGATTTGGGTAATGTATTGTCTAGAGTATTTTTTTTTTTGCCTAAACTTATTTGTTTTTCACCATAATGCTTTCTAGGAGTGTAATCAGTCATTTTATGAAGTTTTTTTTTGTCTACATGTGATGTCTACACATTGCTTTGGGATTTCTATTTTCATAATTTAAGGGGCAAATAAATGATCCAGAGTAATCCCGATTCTCCTTTGGGTTTCTTTATTTTCTGCTATGCAATGTTGCATTGACAACAAACAATTTGCTCCAACAAAACTGATTTTCTCTGTTTCATAGTTGTAACAAGAGGCCCTGAGGACTAAAGTTGAGGTTGTAAGAAAGAAAGCCATTATAATGAGATGATGCGAGGTCATGAGATGATTCAGATTAACTATATTTTTGTGCAGATCCTACAGGTTTACAATGACCTCAGTGTGAGTGAATGATTATAAAAGTTATATAAACATTTTCATTAATTCTCCATGTAACTAGAAAAGGAACTCATGTGGAAATTGCTCACTGATGTCATTTTAGTAATAGACTATTAAAGCCAAAAGATACTGTCCATTTGAAGTCTCATTGACAGACCGCAAAACTGGCTAAGTTTCAGTTTCTGTAACTTTCCATGAGGTCCTTGCAGATTTCTGTGTAATATGTTCTGTTTTCTTTCTCTCTAGTTAAACTCATGTTTGAGAGACAAACAATGGATTCATATAAATAGCTGATTTGGATATTGTAATGTATTGTTTGCAGTATTTTTGCCTAAGCATGTATGTTTTGCGCTATAATGCTTTATAGGAGTGTATTCATAAATCAGTCATTTTATAAATGCTTTTGTCTACATAAGATGTAAACACATTGCTTTGGAATTTCTATTTTTTATAATTTAAGAGGCAAATAAATGGTCTAGACTAATCCCGATTCTCCTTTGGGTTTCTTTATTTTCTGCTATGCAATGTTGCATGGACAGCAAACAATTTGCTCCAACAAAAGCTGATTTTATCTTTCATTGTTGTAACAGGAGACCCTGAGGACTAAAGTAGAGGTTGTAGGAAAGAAAGACATTCTCTTAAAGCGTTGGTTTACCTGCCGGCAGTGTTTCCGAGCATCCGAGCCGACAGATCGAGGGCTGTGTGAATTCGTGCCCTGGGGAGACACAGCTGTGTGTTACAGCACCAGACTGGAATCTCTCGCTGGCTCCTGATTGTTCTTGGGTTTGTTTCCTTGTACTTGTGTGTGGAAACACAGTGATCCCCCTCCCCACCATCACATCCAGAGCAATCAGGAGCTCCCCGAAGCCGCACGGCAGCATTTAATGACCTCCACAAAGATCATCTAGGAAAGAATTCCTGTTCGAGAGGGAAAAATGCATTTGGATGGTGCTCGTTTTCCACACAGGATTTGGGATGGGGGGGAAGCAGTGGGTGGAGTTACGATCTGAACTGGTTCTGGTTTTGTTCAGAGTGTAAAAGTTTGATTCATGACTCCATTGTGAAGATTTTACTCAAAACTCATATTTTCCCTTCTGGGAAGAGGGCTGTTTAACTAGCTGCTCATTTAAAGCACTTTCGGATGAAAAGCTGAACCATTTTTTTTCTGCTTCCAGGGTCCAGTAAAGCTCAAGTATGACTGAACTGTTCCCCTGACACCTGCTGTTAAAAGCTGTTTCTAAGGAAACTTAGAGGTAATGAAAAATAAACATCGTCCCAAGACAGACTGTGGAGACTGGACGCTGAAACTGAACAGCCCTCATACTGCTCTACTTTAAAATGTCAACAGCGATTTCTTCTTAACTTGTGTTTGCATGCAGACTGGCACAAAATCAAGGGCTTAAACGGGATACGTTTAAATGAGAATGGGCAGCGAAAGCCAGTGTTTGGATTTGCTATTATATTGACACTGACATAAAATTAAAAGGGTTTTAAGTTTTTGCATAATAAAACAAGGAAATGGAGTGTTTGTAGCCATGAGGTCAAAACCCTGAAGGCTTCATTGACCACCGAGGGCCATTCTGAGGTCAATTCTGAGGTCAAAACGACTGGTGGTATGTAAGAAAAAAAATTTGCAGTGTGTGCTGAAAAGTGCATTCGCACTGACTTTTTAAAGACTGAATTCCTAGATGCAATGCTGCATGCTGGGGTAAAAACTTGTCATTTTTGCACATAAATATTGGTCGAAGGCTCACAAATGACAATATAATGTGTAAAAGTGGTCAAAAGGTGGCTCCCACTGGTCGTGGAATTATGGAATATCATAGTATTTTAAAAGTTCTATATTTCAGACATTCAAGACAGCAAATTTTATACATTTTGTCCATATATCAGGGACTTTTGGTTATCACTTTACACTTTATTTTAATGGGCTATATGCACACAGACTTTTAATTTTCAGCCAGGCTGCCCAAGGGCTTTTGATGAACTGTCTTTCCATTACAAAATTGACACGTTTAAGATCTGATTTCTTTAAAAATCAGCAATCTTCACTCCCTGTTAGATATACAATATGAAGTGGGTCTCAAATTGGAAAAGAAGCACTGCATAAAATTACATTTCCCCCCGCCATGTCTTTAAAATATGACAACTTATTTTACCCCAGTATTTTCAATGGAATTTCTGCGCTGGATTGTTGCTACTGACTAGCGATTACATCTGTCATCTTGTTTCACGCTTGAAGAAGTAAATGAATCCTTAAGTCTATTTAACTAAATGTATTGTAATTACATTAAAACATCGATGCTGTAAAAACAACCTTGTGAAATTTAATATAGTCTTATTAAGCTGTCACAGTAAGTTTACCGTTGGCTTTTAAACTCTAGCTGTGCATAGAGCCCATTTATCAACATGTATTTTACATCCTATGATGTTTTGATCATGTTGTTTCACACTTTTGCCTATTGTTACGATTCTGCTATTTTTGATGCCATTTTTTCATCTTTCCCGCTCTTCAGCTGGCAGTCACCAAGCTCTAGGCAAACCTGCCAGGAAAACAAACATTTCAAGAGCTTTGGCTACAAAATGGACCCTTCAAAAAGTGTGATGCTCTTGTCCGTTTTCTAAACCTGAGGTAAATTATCCATCATTGCTCTCATAATAGCTATTAAATTGATGAAAAAATTATATATCTTTTTTCCATTTATTGTAGGTCATGGAGATACAGATTTTTAGTCAGTGGAAGTCAGGGAATTTGGCTAAAAGAGGGGGAACTCTGCTGTCAGGGACGCTGTCTGATAGGATATTGAACTATAACTGGCAACATGCAAGAAATGTGGTCGCGTCTTAGTTTTTTATTAGTTTAGATCTCTTTAATCAATGTTGTTTATATTTAGGTTAAATTAGAGTTCGGTTAGAAGCAGGGTGCGAATTACAGGTGGTTTGGGGAGGGTAAGCCCTTTGAAACTAAGAAAAAAGTTCACTCTGATCTGTATTTTTAATAATAATGTTAATTAATAAAATTAAAGTGAAGTTTAATATTAAATTAATTTCGAGAGGAGCACACGCTCATGATTGACCCAGCTGACCAACAATACCTAATCATTTTCCAATAAAAGAATCCCAACTCACTATGTATATATCCTCGTTTCCTATCTTCTTCTGGAAGAAACCCCCCTCCTCCCCTTCTTCCACCTTTATTCAGAATGGGCGGCACGGTGGCCCAGTGACTAGCACTGTTGTCTCAGCAATACCAATGGCGCCGGGTCCTCGCTGGGCCATCTGGTATTTCTGTGCAGAGTTTGCATGTTCTCCCTGTGTCAGCGTGGGTTTCCCTCGGGTTCCCTGGTTTCCTTCCACCGTCTAAATATGCTCGATATAGACAGAATAAGCTTAAATTTTTTTTATAGATGTCTTACTCTCTGGAAGTTTACCTAAGCCTCAGCAGCGGGGGAGTTTTGAGATAGGTCTGAGCTCAGTCTCCCCTCGCCCTGTGAAAGGAAGGGAGCCCTAGGCCCGAGGATCCCTTGAGCTCAGGTCTGTAGTATACGTAGTATATATTTTGTTATTAACTACATAACGGGAAAGAAGCCTTTAATGGAGTCGAAAATTAAATGTACATATTTGCTCACCTGGGTTTGAAGGGAATTAGCAATTTCTCCTTAACTTTCTTTTTTAACTTTCTGTATGAAACGTCAAACAGACACCGGTGCTTCTGTCAAACCTCCACTAGTTTTTCCTCCAATTCTTGGGTCCAAATAAACCGAAAAATGAAAACTCTTTTAACTTCTCCCCCAACTTCCCGCTGGCCAGCTGGTACACACACAAACACACACACACATGCTGCTCTCTTATTGGCTGTAGCCTGTAGGCGATCACCGATGTTATTTTCTGTCAACTCATTTCACATGGCATGATTTGAATCGCCGACAGCTCCAGATATTTAGCATGCCAAATATCTCGGAGGCATCTGCGACTCATCGCGATTATCTCAGATCGCGTCTTTGATAGTTCACACTGTGTGATTGTCACTCATGTGCATGAGCACCGATTTGCCTGTGATTTCAGGCATTTGTCAGCGGTTTTCTCAAAACCTGTTGGCGAGTCAAAATCGGGCCTAAAATCATGCAGTCTGAATTAGGCATTAAGTCGCAAAATTTAGGACTTGAGACTTGCTTGACAAATATCCAAAAAGACTCGACTTGACTTGGACTTGACTGTCATGATTTGAGAGACTTGACCTGGACTTGAGTTAAATGACTCGAAATAGCTTGTTTTTTGTTAATTACATATCCGTTTGTTATATTACATTCAAAACCAAAAGTTATATATGTAAATATAGTAATAAAAAAATCAACAAAAATTTGATTGACTTGAAAGTGACTTGCTAGACCAAGCACGACTTGACTTGACTTGAGTCTGACAAAAATTTACTTGACTTGCTTGAGGTTATTGAGGTTATTGACTTTACTTGAAGGTTATGACTCAAGACTTGCTTGTGACTTGCACATGTGTGACTTGCTCCCACCTTTGGTTCATACCATTGTAAATGCATATTCGTGCCAATCAGACGCCAGAAAAAAAAACATTCAACAGTCTTGAAACTGGCAGATTTAGAGCACCGATAGATACCGCAAGAGTACAAGACGTGGAGAAAACCACATTTTTTCATAAAATGTATAATTCACACACTGGTTAGAATTTTTGTTTTGGTGCACACAGAGTGAGGTAAAGTTCCGAAAACATCACTAACAAAAGCCCCAAAGAGTTTTGATTAGGCTAAACCAACCGATTAAGCGTAAAAACACCAAAACTAAACATAAAAAATGTTTCAGTTACCACAAATGTCCATCTGACAGAAGCCTATTTCTACTTGAATCAAAACCATTGAGTTGACATTATCTAGGCTAATTTATAGAATTATTGATATTGTGTAAGGTTTCCTGAGCGCCTCAACAAAACGAACCCTGATACCAACACGAATAGGCTAACTGTCCGTTCATTTAATGGGTTTTATGGTTCACTAAAATCAAACACGTTAATTTTTCGCTCTAAAGACGGCGTCTTTATCATCTACGTTTTTAGTTACTTTATTAGTTAAGTATACCCTAATTAACGTTCACAAACACGTTTAGTTATAATTTACAGCCCTGAACGCGTCTCGGGTAAACGGCCCCCTGCAATCCATCATGCTTGAGTGTTTTACAAGAGAATAAAGTGTTGTAGGATGGTGATGAGGGCGGATTCAGCTCTCTCTCTCTCTCTCTCTCTCTCTCTCTCTCTCTCTCTGTGAGCGCAGGTTTGCTCTATTATATTCCGTCTTTCAATGCATCGCTGACGGATCTGTTCTGGATATTTTCTGCACCACTTTTGCGTGTATTTTTGTAAACATGAAACAAATGTTTGTACACATTTGGGTCAGTCTGGTCGTGTTGATGTCCGTCTGGTCAGCACAGAGCGACAAGAAACAAGACGTGCCAGGTAATTTTTCTCTCTTTCTAAACTTCGAGTAATGAACTATCTTACGTACTTGAAATAGCTATATTTTGTCTTTGTAACTGTATATTTTTCATTATTGTCTCTGCTTAATTTGCATTCACTCAGTTTTTTAAATTTGTCTTCACTCGGTTTCGAGAACGTTTGAAGAACATTTGACCTTCCGTTTTATGAAAGCTACTATAGAAAAAAGTACATTTACACCGTTTCAATTTTCATATTGCAGTATAGGCTATATTGTTGTAAAAACGTATAACTTTCAAATTGGACTGTACTACTGAATGTAGTCTAATTGTCCAACAATTAAAATGAATGTGAGTTGGAGCTTTCAAAAAGAGTATAACAGTTTAATAAAAGTGACTCATTCATATGGGACTCTATTCAAAACTTTGAGTCATCATTGAGTCCATGAGCTATTTCATCTGAACAGTCTGAATGATTCATTCACAAAAATCGGTCTGATTCGGGCTCTGTGTTCAGCTTTAATTTACCCAGCCAAATAACGAGGAGCAAGTTTATCCTTTAGTACAGATTGATGGGAGGTAAATAGGACAACTCGTATAATTAAAAAAAAAATACAATGCAATGGATCAGATTGCACAAAAATAATTATACATTTAAAAAGCATTCATTCACATGATTTGCAGAAGATTCCCAGTAAACTGACTTCAGTGTTAGAATATTTAATCTATTTATAAATCATACTTACATATTTAGACATGAAACAAATGTTACATATTTAAAACAAGAATAATTTGAGGGATCACTTCAAGGATATTTAACTCATTTAAACAAGTTTTACCAATTTGTCACAAGATGTTTAAATCATAAGATAAACCAAAACTGGGCATAATCGCTTATTATTTGATATATTTAAAAAGTACAGATCAGAAAAAGCATGTTGTTTCATTTTTTGATGAATATCTGTTATGCTGAATGATAACGGAACATTATTTTGCCTAAATTTTCATAGAGGTTTATTGAAATAATACATGCACATAAAATCAAACCGACATTGTCCAAATGGTCAAATCGAAGTCTCCACTTTGAATTATTATTATAATATAAGCCTTTGTTTCAACATTAATCAGATTTGTAGACTACATTTATGATGCTTTTATGACTTGTTTGTTGTCTGAATGCTATTTTAAGACAAAAAAGAGGTTTATATAAAGGCATTACTAGCTTTTATGAGGAGTAAATGACAAAAGATGTGTCTGGAACATTCACGTACATTAACATACTGTTCATGTATTTCTCGCTGTCTCTGTGTTTGTGCCTCTCAGTGATAGACGTGTTGGGTTTGGAGGATGTGAAGCAGACCGTGGCCGCGGTGGAGAAGCTCTCATTGGCTCTGAAGACTCTCAGTGACGTGTATGTGATGTCTACTTTTCGTCTTCCTCCAAAACTTGGTGGAGTTCTGCTGGGGCTCTACAACAAACAGGACAACAAGAAGTACCTGGAGGTTGCCATCATGAGCAAGATTAACAAAGGTAATTCTACTGTGATCCTTTATTTTTATTTTTTTGCATTCTATAATCATAATCCACATGCAACTGCTTTCTTTTTCCACTGACATCAGTGCATATGCTATTGCGTAATCTTGACCAACAGCCAAATAACAACATGTTGCTTTAAAAGGGTCATGAACTGCATTTTTAGTTTGCACAGTTCTCTGAGGTCCACTTATGATGTTATCAAGATTTGTATTTAATTTAAAAAACATTATTAAAAAATAATGAGCTATTTATGTGCTGTTTTGGCACGCCATTTAAATAGGATTGTTGACTCAAGATAATCATTCATTGATACGATTGGCTTACACAAGATGCTGGAAATTATTGAAGATACTTAAATCTCAATCTGGTGTTTTCAAAGATTAAAAAGCGCTTAGATTTTGGATTAAGGGCTTGAAACATCCTTTAAAATATTATTGTGTTGCTTCTATAATAATTGATCTTCCTACATTTATTAACTATTTCAATAAAGTTAGTATTTTTGCTTTTGCATAAAATGAAAACAAAATGCATGGAGATGACCTCTTCATGAGTGAATAATGCATTAAATTAAAATAACATTTAAGATGAAATATGGCTTATTTAGATGTGATTAAATGATATTTAATAGAGCAAATGACGGTAATTTAAAGTTGAGCTTGGGGCAAACATGCCATTAAAATTGTGCAAAAGGACAATAAGTCCCATATGACACCAACCAATCAGTGTGCACAATGCAACGCAGCATCATTGAGGTGAGCTGAGCAAAGAACTAGTTGAGAGTGACAGTGCACACGGGAGATAATGCTGGATAACTCACCTGCTATCTAACACACTCGGCAAAAAGGGACATAACAGTCGCTTGTGGTATACTGTGTTACAGTGTGCGTTTCTTAAAAAACACACACGTTCCATTTGTATACCAATTCCTTCAGTAAATTCAAATCACATCTAAATATCCTGAGTGCCTCTCTTCAATTAAGAAACCATCACTCAGTTCTGACCCACTGCCTATTGTGTTTTACACCCAAAATGAAAACATCCACAAGCCCCTCCATTTCAAAATTGTTCATAGCATCTGATATATTTAGGGATGTAACGGTATCAGAATTTCACGGTACGGTAATACCTCGGTATGAATGTCACGGTACGGTATTTATTGAATCATTTACAGGAAAAAACAAAACTTATGAAAATACTCCAAAAAAGTGCCAAAAGTGTCAATGACATACAGATTAGCCATCTATCTGTAAGCTTTGAAACAGGAACTTCAATTTTAATAACAAAAAAATATTAAACCATGTAAAAAAATAAAGTTTCAATTTAGTATTGTTGAAAACTCATCACATTCAACATTTAATCACTCACTCACTTAGATAGAGATGGGTTTAAAGGAAAATTATCATATAAATATAATCTGGTAAAAGCTGGTATCTCTGGGCATTTACAATGTCCCCTGCAACAGAAAAAAACCCTCTCATTTGGGACTGAGGTTTCTGGGACAAGAGAGATATGACTTGGCCCAGGTTGACAGCAGTGAGTAACGTTGTGCATTGTCTTTCCCCCACTTGAGAGGACAAACCATGAGTAAGATAGAGATCTCATGTCTGCATCAATCTGAACAGTGTGCTGACAACACCGCTATTCAGTACGCGCGCGACAACACAGCTGATAAGAACTCGCGCGACAACACAGCTGATAAGAGCTCACGCGACAACACCGCTATTCAGTACGCGCGCGACAACACAGCTGATAAGAACTCGCGCGACAACACCGCTATTCAGTACGCGCGCGACAACACAGCTGATAAGAACTCGCGCGACAACACCGCTATTCAGTACGCACGCGGCGACTACACCCGCTTTAGAGTTTTCCGACTCTTTTTCATCCCCGCTTCTAGCAGCACACTCCATTTCCGCATTACTGGATCTGTAGCGACAACAGACCGCAAGGGATGATGGTCAAGCATGGGCTGATGGGAATTGTAGTTTTCGCTACCTCCCGTTCGCTTCATTCGCCTGAGCAAATTTTCTCAGAAGACCTATAGTTTTACAGAGTCATGTGACTTCGGTAATATCGAAAAAAATTAATATTGCGGTATGACGGTATTTACAATATCGTTACATCCCTAGATATAATGTAATAAAGTTAATATGTCATTCACCATAATTGTAAAGTGCTGATTAAGTTTGAAAATGCACCTGGAAAGTGCTTGAAAAGTGCTTAAATTTAACTTTAGAAACGTGTAGGAACCCTGCTTACAATTTTACATGTTAAGATTTCTAAATTACTTGCTTCTAAAATAAAATGCTAGTGCTTGCAAGGATGTGCCCACCAATGTAAACCTTTACATGTGTGTTTGACAGCCTACTACATCCTTTGTAGATACTAAAAGGTAAAAAAAAATGCATTATACAAAAATACATTGGTGACAAAACCATCTGTAATAACGAAGTAAGAGTGAAAATATAATGAAGACTGTTTCAGTCTTTGTGAAATTACAGTGTGTAATTGTGTCTTATTTTTCAACTGAATTCACTGTAAAATAAAAGGAACAGGTGACTTAGTTTTTACTGTTGGGGTTTAAAATTTTATCAAAAACAAAGTTCATCCACTCATTCATAATGTTGGGATCAAAAGGAAGGCTAAGCAGTCAGCGCCAATTGCCTGGTGGTTAAGTCAAGTCAAGTCAAGTCAACTTTATTGTCAATCAAGTGTGCCGACATATAGCACCATGGTGCTCACGGCTACCCAAGTTCGATTCCCGACTCGAAGTTCTTTGCTGACCCTTCCCCTCTCTCTGCTTCCAATACTTTCCTGTCTGTAACCGCCACTGTCCTTTCAAAATAAAGATGGAAAAACCCTAAAATATATTTGATAAAAAGGAAACAAAGGAAGGCAAAGCAATTGCTGTTTTCCCACAGTTTGTCTTTGTAGCCATTTTTATAATTTGGTGGCTAACCAGTTAAGTTTCAGTTTAGTTTGCACTAGGGTTGGGTCGATAGACGATGCCATCGTCCATCGCTGATGACTGATAGACATCATGATGCTGAGCCGACATCCCAATCCTCGCGCCCCAATACACTTAGGGTTACACTAATACCTTTCAGTTTTAAAATGACATTTTAGAACGAAAATGATCCACGTCTACACTGGCGTTTCATCTAGCATTTCTGAACAGTTCTCCGTCCACACTATACCGCTGTAAACGCACATGACGTGACCACACACACACTCTAGCATATGTGCACATCTGAGCTCTAGGCAGTCAGCGGGTGCTTTGAGAACAAAACCACAGAAAGCATTGCACACCGGACAGTTTATCAAGGATGTACTGCTGGATCACGTCTAACTATAGTCGTTAAACGTGATATTTAATTAATCTTGTCTCTATCTAACGACTCTTCGGTCTTTTGAATCTTTCAGGTTACGTGTCACAGCGTCAGTACACTGCTTCAATCTTTTGCTTTCACGGTTGTACTTAGTAATTTTTGCGAAAACCTCAGATACTGTTGGTTAGTTGCTGTTGGTTGTGCATCTTTTTACCAACCAACAAACAATGACTACAAATTACTACAAAGTTTTAGTACTAAAAATGTAACCCCGCCGGTCCTACACCACTCAACCCACTATGAGCTGGGATCGAACTGGCGACCTTCCGCATGGGAGTCGGTTGCTCTAACCAGGAGACTAAAGACCGTGGCCCCTAGAGCACCTTTTAGAGGTTAGAGGAGTGAGTTTGACCTGCACAGCACTTCACTAGCTGGCCTCCGTTACACAAAGACATGTACAATGCCAAATTGGTCGACATCGCCCAACCCTAGTTTTAGGTACCACGCAGGTGACTCCGATCAGCTGCTCCATAATACCATGGCAACAAAGAGTAATTTAAATCGTCTTCATGCTACCTAAAACCCACAGTAAACTGAAACTTAACTTGCTAGTCAGCTAATCCTCCATCATAGTACAGATGTCTGCTTTAGTCTTTTTATTTGCATACTGCATGCATGAATTAGTGGGTGGAGCTAAACAGGCAGTGATGTAGAAGTGGGTGTTAAACTTGTTCTGTGGATGCAAGTTTGGTCACACTATTACATAATAAAGTCAGTTTCACAATCAACAACCTTGGCACTTACTTCCAGATTGATTTTAATGTACAGTAAGCTGTTTTTAGACTAAAAGAATATTTTTGAGTTGAGAAACTTACAGGAGTTTTTATAGTACCCTGACCTCTTTTATATCCAAAGATATCTCAGTTCATGACCTTTATAACTTGTTCCAATTTAGCTCCATTTTTTTCAGCCGTAATGCCCACTTTTAACTATTCAATTAATAATTATCTTGTTCTACCAATACGTAATATGTAACAGATATGACATGGCTTGTGAACATGCCTTCAGAAGATATCTATAAAAGCTGTGTTTTTGCTGTAGTTCTGGTCAGGTATGTCCGTGAGGATGGAAAGCTGCATACAGTGAACATGCAGAGCCCGAATGTTGCGGATGGACGTCCTCAGTCACTGATTCTGCGTGTCGGAGGCCTGCGCCGGGAGTATCTGAGCCTCGAGCTCTATGTGAACTGTCGTCTGGCTGACTCCGCCCAGCGCCTGCCCCCATTGGTGGATTTGCCCAGAGATGCTGAGCTGGTGGAGATACGAAATGGACACAAGGCATATGCTCGGATGCAGGTACATACATGGTTATAATCAGTGTCTTCACAACATTTAATTATTTATGATCTGTATGTTTTTGGTAACATTTTAAATATATAAAAATAACATTTTAAATAAAATGTTTTTTTGATCGACTTCAAATGTTGACTACTTGATGAAGACAAAATGATTAGCCCTCTTTTTAACTTTTTCAGATATTATTTTAACACATTTTATAGCTCTAGTTTAATTAAGTTTAATAGTTATATAGTTTAATAACATATCTATTTAGTCTTTGTCATGATGACAAGGAATAATTATTTTCTAATTAATACAACATTCAGCTTGAATTGAAATTTGATATGTAATGTTTAATAAATGTAATAAACTATAATAATTAGGTTAACTAGGCAAGTTAGGTTATTTGGGCAAGTTACTGGACAATAGTGTGTTTGTCATGCACTCACAGGCCACTTTATTAGGTACAGCTCACTAGTATTGGGTTTGTACCTCCTTTTGCCTTCAGAACTGCCTTAATACTTCAAAGCATAGATTCAACAAGGTACTGGAAATATTCCTCAGAGATTTTGGTCCACATTGACATGATTAGCATCACACAGTATCTGCAGATTTGTCGGCTGCACATCCATGATGCAAATCTCCCGTTCCACCACATCCCAAAGGTGCTCTATTGGATTGAGATCTGGTGACTGGGAAGGCCGTTTGAGTACAGTGAACTCATTGTCATGTTTAAGAAATCAATTTGAGATCATTCGTGCTTTGACACTTTTTAGATCAGCAGTTTGTGAAATATTCAGACCAGCCGGCTGCACCAACAACCATGCCACGTTCAAAGTCATTAAGTCACCTTTCTGCCCATTCTGTTGCTCGGTTTGAACTACAGCAGATCGTCTTGACCATGTCTACATGCCTAAATGCATCGAGTTGCTGCCATGTGATTGGCTGATTAGAAATTTGTTTTAATGAGCAGTTGGACAGGTATACTTTATAAAGTGGCCGGTGAGTGTATAGCCTGTTAAAAAACAAAATCTGTTAAACATCACTCAGGAAATTTTTTTAAAAAGAATTGAACATTTCACATAATTTTGTATTCTGATATATGCATCCATGTATAAAACTGAACAAATGTATTGTCTATTAATTAAATCTATTATACGTGAAACCTACACTTTGTGTAGTGTGTATTTAAAAGCATAATAGGTGTTTTGTGATTATAAAATGTTTATTTTTTTTTCAAAATCTAAACTGCAAGAATTCCGCAGAAATTTAGTTTTTTAGCATGGAAACAAATGACATAATTCAGGTTTGCATCAGCATGAGTGAGTAAATAATTACGGTGTTTCCATTTTGGGGTAATCCATTTATTTATGTTTGATTAAATAGAAATATTAGATGTGATTGGGTAAGAACCACAATCCAGATATCAAGAGTAATTACAGGGTCAAATGCTGAATCTAAATAAACCTTAACCTTTATAACCAAAATGTTTTTCTTCAAGGGTTCAATGGATACTCTTAAGCTGGCACTGGGGGGCACTGTTGCCCAGGCTGGCGCTCTCACCGACTGTCCCTTTCAGGGAGACGCTTCTTCATACAACATAGGTCTGCCAACATCAACACAGGACTGAGGTTTTTGAAGGCTTGAAAATTTTTGTCTGAATATTGCTTTGTTTACTCTTTGTTTTTCAGTGAATGGTGAGGTTAATTCTATTCTAGGTGAGTTGACTTTGCAGGTGCAGTTGCGATAGTGATTTATTCATTCTTATTTATGTAATAGTTGTTTAATTTGACAATATTTTATTGTTTTTGCACAGGTGACCACACTAAAGCTCTGATCGGCCAGCTGATCATCTTTAATCAGATCTTGGGAGAGTTGAGAGAGGACATCAGAGAACAGGTGTGTGTATATGATGGGCATACAGTATCTGGCCACGCATGTATCATTACATGGGCATGACACGGGTATATAAAGAAGATTATAAAGACATTGCTGATGTCTCCTTTTTCAAAAGGCTTTTATCATACAGAATGTGTTATTTTTCAAATGTAAAGACAGTTTGTAAAATGAATGGAAACCTACAGTATGCGTATGTGTTTGTGCATTTGTGCATATGTATGCGTGTGAGCAAGAGAGTTTATGTTCTGAACATGCTTTGTTAAGGGAATAATTCACCCCAAAAAGCATTTGCTCACCCTCAACAACAAAAAATAAATTTACTACAGGGTTTAACGCTAAGGATTTTTTCAACTGGCCCGATTCAGTTTATTTACTTTCCCTGGCAAAATTTTCAGTGGCCCAACAAAAAAGTTAATATTTTCAGTCACATATTTTTAATAAAATGTCAAAAATAACATCTGCAAATCTATATTTTATAACATTTCTATATAGTATTATTTCAAAAATGTAAATAAATGGATAATTTGCAAAATTCAAAGTGTTATGCAAACAAAAAAAACAGTATAAAGAATCTGCAGGTATTTTATTGCAGTTCTAAATTATTAAACAAAAGGTGGTTGACTAGCCAAACTGATGGCAAACTGTGCAGAACATTTGATTTTGTTCATCCTGTTGTACCCATGTAAATAAACCTCATAATTTGATGTTGCCGCAATGTTTTTGTCTCTTTCTTGTACTGGTTGTTACCAGGTTACAAATAAAAAAAAACTTCCACGCATGACCCTTTGCTGTGGCCATCGTCAACACTAACGCATACCTCTCAAAAAATGCAACTACACGTTGCAACAACGCATAGCGCAAGCTCTGTGATTGGTCAGCTTGAGTGTGGGCGGGCAAACGCGTTAGAGTGAGTGTTTACTAGTGTCGAGTCTCATGAAGGAGGTCCAGGGGTCTGTTCTTCTTAACGTGGATTACGCAGTTAGCTGGATTTGGTTATTGACGATTTGACATGATCCAGGATCGTTTCGTTCTTTAAAAATGATCTGAGAGTTGTTGTCATAGCAACAGTTCTGGTAGCTCAAACCTGGTCTGGAGCAGGCTCATTTCATATAAACAGGATTAAATCGGGTCAATTCAAGCAAAGAAAATACTGAAAGTATGTACCAAATGATGATATTTTCTTACTGTAGTACTAATGTACAGTTGGGAAAAAATAGTAAATATATTTGACAATATAAAGTAAAAAAAAAAAAAATATATATATATATATATATATATATATATATATATATATAACTTATGCAATCTGCACCCCCGAATTAAAAGTACAAAGACTGCCACCTGGTGGTGCAAAAAAACCCATATTGATTATGAACTTTTTAGATCGCTTAGTACAGGGGTGTCAAACTCAATTCCTGGAGGGCTGAAGCCCTGCACAGTTTAGTTTCAACCCTGCTCCAACACACTTACCTGTAGGTTTCAAACAAGCCTGAAGGACTCAATTAGTTTGATCAGGTGTGTTTAATCAGGGTTGGAACTAAACTGTGCAGAGCTGCGGCCCTTTTGGAACTGAGTTTGACACCTGTGGCTTAGTACAATTTGTTTATGATAAATGTTGATTAATGATTAATAAATGCACAGTACGTGACTTTTTAAAAGCAATATTACATTTATGCAGTCATGAACATGTTTTGACAGTTAATATGACAGTAATTTGATGCTTCACAAAAGTTGCAGACGCCTTTACCAATATCAAAATGCTTTTGTAAACATCCAGTTATTTTTTACACTGATTTTAAAAACAGCTACTGTAATACTACGATGGCTACTATAATAAGGAAAATCCCATCTAACTGTAAAACTAAATCAGTTGCTTTTGACACTCTTGAATGGGCCAAGCATCCAGCCCTCAACAAGGTGTAAAGTTATTGCGTATCATATTTAACAAACCGTTTACTTCGAATTTGATGTAATTTTGCTCACAAGGATAATTGAATATTAATCAGATGATGTCATTATGCTTCTGTGCCATCAGCCAATCGTTGCATTGCTGATCATGATTTTGAGGATCGATAGATCAGTCCTTCACAACACACGCAGCAAAGAACCAAATTAGCTAGAGATCAGGATCTAGATCCAGGATCTGCCCAATTATCTTAGATCATTTAAGGGAGCTACGAAGAACAGACCCCAGATGGAAAATGTTGTTTACCTTATGGTTAAACTGGTTGCATGTAAGCCGGTTCCTGCCTCAAAATGAGCGATATTAAGCTACTTTTACATTAAGGTAGCGTTTAAAAAAAACAAAACATCAGCGAAGAAACTCGATACAGAGAAACATAAAAACCTACTGCCAGCAAGTGTTTTGGAAGTGTTATTGCAGAGCAACACGAACAGCGCCAGAAGTATAAATGCACAGCTACGTGCAAGGCATGCGCCGTGGGACACGCCAATCACTTGACGCAGAAGTATAAACCAGGCTTTAAAAGCATAAATTGTTTCTCAATTCTAAGACTGTATTTGCACGCTAATTGTTGCAGGCAAATTAAACTGTAGTGTCGAGGCAGCACTGGGTCATTCCGGCCAGTAACAATCCTGTCTCGAGCATATTGCGTGTTGGCCCCAGGCCATCGGGCATTCTTTATTTTTAAGCCCAGTATTACTTTATTTCTTTCAGTTGACTATATTTTGAAGCCTGCTGGTAGCCCTTAACTTCTAAAGTAAGAAAAGTCAATGGCTACTGGTTTTCAACATTATTGAGAATATCTTCTTTTGTGGTAATAAAATATTTTTGGAACAAGTGGAGTGTGAGTAAATCACTTTTTTGGGGTGTACTATCCATCTAACATTAAAGTGTTCTTGTGCTGTTTAGGTGAAAGAAATGTCCCTGGTAAGGAACGCTATTCTGGAGTGCCAGATGTGTGGTGAGTAGCAACATCACACCCTAAAATCAACCTGACAGAGTCCATTAGCTGCATTCAGACAGAGACCGAATACAGTGTTTGGGCTTATTTGTAGTGCTGACCATTTAGAAGGAGAGTGATAAGCAGAACCACTGTTATTTGATATGCCTCTGTAGACAGCAGCCTTAAAGGTATAGTTCAGGCAAAAATTAAGATCTGCTGTTAATTTGTTCATTTAATAGGTAGCTGACTTACTTTTCATATCGTTATAGAAGGTTTCTAGCTTTAATCATTCTTTTTGAGGATACACAAATAATTCAAGCAAGTAACTATCAGTATTTTAAGAATGCAAAGATGTTATAAGATATTTTTCAAGATGCTTCTATACAGCTTAAACTGACATTTAAAGGCTTAACTAGGTTAGTTAGCTTAACTAGGCAAGTTAGGATTATATGGCAAGTTGTTGTATAATGATGGGTTGTTCTGTAGACTATCGAAAAAAATCTAGTTTAAAGGGGCTAATAATTTTGACCTTAAAATTGTTCATAAAAAATTGAAAACTCCTTTTATTCTAGTCGAAATAAAACAAATACAACTTTCTCCAGAAGAAAAAAATATTATCAGACAAACTGTGAAAATTTCCTTGCTCTGTTTAACATCGTTTAGGAAATATTTAAAAAATAAACAAAATTCAAAGGGGGGCTAATAATTCTGACTTCAATTGTATATTAGAGCATTCTGTGAGTATATCCCATAATGCATTGCAGCTGAACCTTAATTTTCATGAAAAACCACAGCCGATTGTCTTTGAATCATTCTGTCTGTATTTGAAAAAGAGATAATATTCACAGGAGGGCTAATAATTTTTGACTTCTATTATATAATTCACATGATGTTCGAGTTCTTTGGGCTCTTTATTCACTTATTATTTCTTATAGTATTTCTTATTTGGTCCATCTCTGTGTTTTGACTAGGGTTTCACGAGCCTCGTTCCCGCTGTCAGCCAAACCCCTGTTTCAAGGGTGTGTCCTGCATGGAGACGTTTGAATACCCAGGGTACCGCTGTGGGCCCTGTCCAGACGGCATGACGGGCAACGGCACACACTGTCAGGACATCGATGAGGTGATTACACTAATATAAAGTCAAAATTATTAGCCCATGTGATGTTTTTTCCTTTACAAAAAAAAAAATCCGAAATGATGTTTAACAGTATAATATTTTTTCATCTGGAGAAAGCCTTATTTGTTTTATTTCGGCTAGAATAAAAGCAGTTTTAATTTTTTAAAAGCGTTTAAGGTGAATATTGTTAGCTTTCTTAAAGAAATATTTGTTTTCGACTGTCCACAGATCAAACCTTTGTTATACAATGACATGGAAAATTACCCTACCTTGCCTAATTAACCTTATTAACCTAGTTAAATGTCACTTTAAATGTTTTTTGAAAAATATCTAGACAAATATTATTTACTGTCATCATGGCAAAGAAAAAAGATTTCCGTTATTAGAAATAAGTTATTAAAACTATTATGTTTAGAAATGTGTTAAATAAAATGTTCTTTCCGTTAAACAGAAATTGGGGAAACATATACAAGGGGGGCTAATAATTCAGGGGTAGGCTAATAATTCTGACTTCAACTGTAAAGTGATTATGTTGTTTAAGTTGAATTTTTAATTATTTTGAGCGTATTTTGAGTTATTGAATGTGATCATTGTGTTTCACTTCATCAGTGTTCAGAGGCTCAGCCGTGTTATACACCGGGTGCTTGTGTCAATACTGCAAGAGGTTTTACCTGTGAGTCGTGTCCCCCTGGCATGTGGGGTCCACCTTTGTCTGGAGTCGGTGTGGAGTATGCTAAGAGTCACCGTCAGGTACAGGGCATTTGCATTATTGAAAATACTGTAAAAACTGTGATATTGTGGAATATTATCAGAGTTACTACAGCTTTCAGAGTCAAATTATCAATCAGAAATCACTCTATTATGCTGATATGGTCCAATGATGTTTATTTGGAATTTCTGTAACATTATATGGAACGTAAAAAGTAAAATTAGCAGGAAAAAATGTTATATATATATATATATATATATATATATATATATATATATATATATATATATATATATATATATATTAATCAACCAAATGTTATGGAGGGACACTTCAATGTAAAAGTCTTCTATGGTTTTGTGTATAAGACTTCATATACACTGTGAAATATTAATGTGTAATGTGAATGGGACGCTGACAAGGGAGGTCGGATCCAAACGCAGGATTTATGTAGCAGAATAGGCAAGCAACAGTCAACACAGGAGCAAACAGATACAGGCAATCCAGAGTCGTGGTTGATTAAACAGGCAAATGGTCAGTACAGGCCGGCAGGAGGCAGTGTAAACAAACTAACTAAGTTTGTTTGTCAAACTAAGGTGAGGGCCAAAAACACGACAAGGCAAGGAAACCATATCGTAATGTTCACTGTACAGTGTAACAGCTTACAAGACTCAGCACCGATGTGTGTATGTGTGAGTTGTCTATTTATAGTCCATGCAATTACATCATGAGCGGCTTCAGCTGAGACCTTGTAGTCCATGAAAAGGCGGATTTGTAGTCCTTTAGCAATCTACAGCCACTAGATCGCTGGTGATCATAACACAATGTGCCTAAAATATTATTAGCACAATTAATTTGTTTCTATTTGGCTGAACAATGTTTTATTTATTTATTAATATTATTATTATTATTTATAAGATTATTTTTAGTCTAGAGTAACAAGGATATCAAAAATGGCAAACCATTCAGAATAAAGGTGGAAGTGTTGTTGTTTTTTTCTAATTCAGTTTATCTAAAATGCATTTATACTTGAAGCCAATATGTCATTAGATCATCAAAGCAAATGTCAACAAGTTTGTTTGTGTTTCAGGAGTGCTCTGACATCGATGAATGTGTAGATTTGGCCAACGCCTGCACACCCAACTCTGTCTGCATCAACATTATTGTGAGTATGAGTCAGGAAAATCTCAAGATGTTTTCTGTGTAAGAAGTAAAAACTTCTTTTATATTCCTCCCTCTTCTCTCAGGGGTCATTTCGATGCGGTCAGTGCAAGACTGGATATGTTGGCAATCAGACAGCCGGATGTTTCCCTCGAAAGTCATGTTCTTCACTCAGTTTCAACCCCTGTGACACGAACGCTCACTGCGTCATGCAACGCAACGGGGACGTGTCCTGCGCTGTACGTTCACACCCAACACTGCATCTGTACCGGCTTTAATACAGAAAGAATGATCAATCATTCATTAGAGGGCTCCTATAGTACAATCATTTGCATCCAAAGTCAAGAAACATGTTTAAATTTCTCATAAAATCCTTTGCCACATCAGATATTTTCTCATACTGTTTAAATCAGTTAATTCATATATCTGATTTCTCTAAACCCCGCCTTTCTAAGAGTATTCTCTTCTTTGATTCTCAGAGAGCTTAATATATTGTGACAATTTTTATTTGTTATTAGTTGCTACAGAATAGTCACTACTATTATATATTCAAAGATGCACATGTCTAATAATTAAATTCTAATATCTAGACCACGTGTCAAATCCAGTTCCTGGAGGGCCGCAGCTCTGCACAGTTTAGTTATAACACTAATTAAACACACCTGATCAAACTAATTGAGTACTCCAGGCTTGTTTGTAACCTACAGGTAAGTGTTTGAAGCAGGGTTGGAACTAAACTGAGCTGAGCTGCGGCACTCGAGGAACTGTATTTGACATCTGTGATCTAGATCAGCAGTTCCCAACAGGGGGGTCCTGAGCTCTGTGGGGGATCGCTTCAAATTAAAAAAAAATAGCAGTTGACAATTGGTTCATTTTATCCCCTGACTGACCAAAAAATGGACAAATTTGTGATTCGTCCTCCACCAAAAAAGAGTCTCCCTGATTTGCCTTCAGCAGCTAATACTAATGACCCAAGCGTACTGGACTCAGGTGAGGAAGCTCTAAACATTTTGGGTCGCAGCGCTAGTAATAGTGGACACACAAAATGCAGGAAATAACAAGACAGTTACCTGAACTATTGCTTTATTCCATTTTCTTGAAGCAAAGAGTCCCTGACCCAGCCACAGTGTATTATCTGTGCCAAAGTTCTTGCTAACGAATGCATGAAGCCCTTTGCAAAAGACTCATCCCCAATACCACAACAAACCCAGAGGATTTTTTGAGCACAAGGCAAAAGAATTGACACACTCCCAAAATGAGATGAGAGACATCACAACTATTGACAAAAAACTTAAAAAATAAATTGGCAACTAAAATAGGGCCAATTTAAAGGTCAAAGGCTTACGTTTTTCAGTTACAAATGGCCTACTGATGTTTTGCTTTTACATTTTATATTAGGCTATTATTTGTGCATAAACATATCTAGATATAGTAATAAACAAACCATTTGTTAGAAAACAATTTAATTCCTTCCTGCAAACTTATTTGAGCGATAATGTAATTAAATGTTGAGGGGGGACTTACAATATTTTCCATTGTAAAAGGGGGTCTTAGGCAAAAAAAGGTTGAGAACTACTAATCTAGATGATTAAGTACCAGTTTCTAAAAATGATAATCATTAGGCTTTAATACAATTTTATTAGTAGGCTTTTGTTTTGTAAAAAAGGGTGACACTTTATTTTAATGGTCCATTTGAGTATTAGTAGACCGTCTACTTAATATTTGTTGATATTGCTGCTAAACAGACATTTAACTGACTATAAGAAACTTTGCAAGTACATGTCAACTTACACTAACCCTAACCTTAACAGACTACTTATAATCTAATAGGAATTAGTTGGCATGTAGATGCAATGTAACTTAAATTCATCAAACACACCATCCAAATAAAGTGTGACCTTAAAAAGTACTACTCCCTAGGAATAAGCTCTAGTAACCAATGAATAAATACTAATACTACTAAGTGGAATAAATATATATGTGTCAAAAAAATAAGTAGCATGAAAATTGATGTGTTGTTTATATGTTTTATGGGGTACATTTTATGGGCTAACCATAGCAGGATTTTGGACAATGTTGATGTTTCAATGTGGGCGGGGCTACCCAATAGTGTGTAGAAACCAAGTAACTGGCCAGGCAGCTGTTTTCTGATACATTCTAAGTGCATGTCAACAACAAGTAATATATCTACCTAGTATATAATTAGTTACTAGTAGCATATAAAATGTATAAAATGCGACGGCCACGACGTAGGGCTATCGGTCAACGTGTAGGCTGCGCCGAGCTCTGTGATTGGTCGGTTATGCCGGTCACTTGACGCAGAAGTGTAAACCAGGCTTTAAGTTGGTGGTTCATTCCGCTGTGGCGACCCCAGATAAATAAAGCCAAAAAGAAAATGAACAAATTAATAAATGTTTAATAATAATATTAATACAGATTAAAATGAATCTGTATTTTAAAAAATGTATTATCTGTATTAACACATATTTATTTATATTTGTTTAACTTGATTTAGTTTGTTTTATATTCAGAATTTTTGTACTGCACATGGATTCAATGTTTTTATGGCTTTACACACTATTTACACATAAATAGACAAATAATTGAGCATGAATTCAAGTTTCTTATTTGTGTTTAAACAATTAAACAAAAACAAACAACATCCAATTAAAGTTTCATGTTTTCTCTTTGTACAAAGTTTTTACAGAAAATATACACACAAGTAAAAACCAAACATGTATTTAAATTTCACATTAATGCCTATTTTGATCGATTTTATGTAGGTTTAAATAATAAATTGTATATATTTATTAAATGTTATATATGTTTATTACATCAGCTTGAGTTGTGTGCAGAGATTTTTCTATTCATCATAATGTGTTTGTCTTGAATAATTGAGTCGTTTTGTTGATAGATGAGTGTTAAAAACGTCACATTAAGAGTTGTTGATGATATAGCAGAAATTTTACATAATGTATATGAATAAAAATATAAAAAAGTATTAGCCCCCCTGCTTAAATTAAAAAAAAAATTCTAAACATAATACTTTTAACTAATTTCTAATAACTGATTTATTTTGTTTTTGCCTTTGAGAAAGTAAATAATATTTTACTAGATATTTTTGAAGATACTAGTCTTCAGATAAAAAGTGACATTTAAGGCTCATAATTAGTTTAAATAGGTAAGTTAGGGTAATTAGGCAAGTCATTGCATAACAGTGATTTGCTCTGCAGCCAATCTGAATAAAAAATTGCTTAAGGGGGTTTAAGAATATTAAGCTTATATTAAATAAATATGTTTTATTATGTTTTTACAGAATAAATGTGCCATATCAGGATTTTGGACCAATGAGGATTCAGTGTGGGTGGACCTACCCAACAGTGTATTAAAATAACTGACAAGAGACCCAATCACTGAGCACTTCTGTTTATCACTACTAGTGTATATTTAAATATGCACAAGTATTTAATGTTTACGTACTAATATTTAGATAATTAAGCACCAGTAACTAAATAATTACAAATATAAGGGTTTAATAAAATTTGTGTCACATTTTTTAAAGCACTGTACTTCTAAAATAAGCACTAGTAACCAATAAATAAAAACTTCTAGTTAATAGAATAGATACTAGTGTCTAGAAAAATAAGTATCTTGAAAATAAATGCCTGCATCTTTTATGGGCTAAATGTTATAGGCTAGCCATTGAGGGATTTTGGACCAATGAGGTTTCAGTGTGGGCGGTGTAACAAAGTAGCTAACAAGATAGTCACTAAGCACTTCTGCTCATCTATCATATCTTTGCCACAGTTTTCTGATCAGCATTCTCTCTGGCTCTTCTAGTGTAATGTTGGATGGGCTGGTAATGGTCACACCTGCGGGAAGGACACAGATATTGATGGTTATCCTGACCGCTCTCTGCCCTGCATGGACAATCACAAGCACTGCAGACAGGTTTGAAAATCATCATCATCTCACCCACAATCCTTCTTTGACTCTGTATAAACATTCACTGATGTCATTCTTTAGTAGATTTTTTAACCATGTTGTTTTATTTATTCTGTGATGGTTTATAGACTTGGTGCACTGCAGCTCAAGTGCTGTTTATACACCTTGTAACTTTCAAGTAGATTAAGCTATTCGTCCTAGATGAGCTAATGTGTTGACATTTGATTTTGCATTTGTTTGTGCACTTATATGATGGATAAGAGTGCTTTTAGATTTAGTTTGTCTGAAGGTTTAAAGTACTTCAAGTGTAGGGATGTTCATATGTTGTGTGTTTTTTCAGGACAACTGTGTCTACACACCTAATTCTGGTCAGGAAGATGCGGATAATGATGGAATTGGAGATCAGTGTGATGAAGATGCTGATGGGGACGGAATTAAGAACGTAGAGGTGTGTTTGTGACCAATACAACTAATGTTTTTAATATGGATGCTCCGATCAGGATTTTTGATGCCGAGTACCGATTTTGATGCTTCAAGCTATAAATGTGCATAAAGCACATTTCCCCTTCAAGTATGATGCTTACTCTTCTTACCTAAGAGAATAAATGAAGGATGTTGCATATAATTGCTTAAAAACATCTTTTATAATAATTTAGTGTGGACACGTCATGATCTAAATCAGCTTACAGAATATAATAGATGAAGCAGATTTAAAAATTGGTAAAAGAAATGACAAACAATACAATCTAGAAAACATTGCAAATGATGGAAGAATAATTCAGCATGCCTCAATGAAGAAAACATTTGGAGTGCATATTTGATGTATAAGTAGTTTTCCTCTGCTTGTAAATTTGTAAACAAACACTTCTGATCGGTTCATGAGATCGGCCAGAGTAGCGAGTTCCGATCGAGTCATAAAATGTGATTATCGGCCGATATTGATCTCTGGCTGATCGATCAGAGCATCCCTAGTTTCTAGTTGTAGTTTTTTTCATTTAAATACAGCTTCAACTGGAAAAGTTCAGGGTAATTTAGATATTTTACTCTGGGAATTAGAAATTGTGTTTCAGTTCTACTATTTACAATACTATAGAAACCAAAGTTTATAGAAACCAAACTGTTAAACATATACTTGTGAAATATTTTTAATGTTATCAGACAACAATTTTTATCTGGAAAGACTTTAAGTAAAGAGTTTTCAAATGTGAATTCTGCCAAAATTGTACTTTTATTAAAAGTAAACCTTAAAAACAGTTTTAGATTTTTATCTCTTAAATCATTATAGTTCTTCTTCTTATTATTATTTATGTATTTTATCTTGTGTATTTGTTTTTATTACTTTTGATGACTTTTTATTGTTAAAATATTTTTTAAATTGTAGAAAAGTAATATTTGTCAATGTAATCTTAATCTGTTTTCTTGCCATGATATAGCCAGAGAGGACTCACTCACTCACTCACTCACTCACTCACTCACTCACTCACTCGCTTACTTACTCTCTCTAGTTGCTTGATTGGCATGACGTATTGTACAGAATTGCCAAAGCATTTTAAATATGTATGAGATATGTAATATATTAACATCATCAAATTAATAAAATAAGAAATAAATGACAAAAAACAGATAATAAATTCATTCATTCATTCATTTTCTTTTCGGCTTAGTGTCTTTATTAATCTGGGGTCGCCACAGTGAAATGAACTGCCAACTTATCCAGCATATGTTTTACGCAGCGGATGCCCTTCCAGCCGCAACCCAACACTGTGAAACACCCATACACACTCATTTACACACATACACTATGGCCAATTTAGCTTATACAATTCACCTATATGGCATGTCTTTGGACTGTGGGGGAAACCGGAGCACCCAGAGGAAACCCACACCATCATGGGGAGAACATGCAAACTCCACACAGAAATGCCAACTGGCCCAACTGAGGCTCACCACCGTATGGCCCTAAATATATATTTTGTATATATGAAATATATATTGACATTTTCAGTTATCTCTTTCAATTTAGTTTATTTATTTTTGTATTCAGTTTTGTATTCTGTTGTTTTAGTTTTTATTAATTTTCAGTTTACAATTTTGGGGCTTCAACTTATTTCTGATAGTTGGAAAGACATAATGTTTTAATCTCACAATTTTCTCACAATTTAAAGAAGTCAAAATTGCTTGAGATCAGATATCAGAAAACAAACTAATATAAATTTTCTTTTCATTGTTTTTTAATGTATTCATAAATGCTTCAGATCTTATTCTTATAAAATAACAAAGGAACACTGCATCAAACATGTCTGTGTTATTTCTTCAGGATAACTGTCGTTTGGTCTCCAATAAAGACCAGCAGAACTCGGACACAGATTCGTTCGGAGACGCGTGTGATAACTGTCCCACCGTTCCCAACATCGACCAGAAAGACACTGATAGCAACGGAGAGGGAGACGCTTGTGATGACGACATTGATGGAGATGGTAAAAAATGTTCAGCTCTATGGATTGGACTGTTTTGTGTTTTTACAGCATCATCTTGAGTGGATGTGATGTTTTGCAGGGATTCAGAATGTTCTGGATAACTGTCCTAAAGTGCCGAACCCGATGCAGACGGACCGAGACAGAGACGGAGTGGGAGATGCGTGTGACAGCTGTCCTGAGATCAGCAACCCCATGCAGGTACTGAAGCACAGCTTATATTAGTGCTGGGCAAAGATTAATTGCATCCAAAATAAACGTTTGTTTTGACAAACAATCGTTATACAATAAATTGCCTAATTACCCTATCCTGCCTAGTTAACCTGATTAACCGAGTTAAGCCTTTAAACGTCACGTATAAAAGTGTCTTGAAAAAATATCTAGTAAAATATTATTTACTGTCATCATGGCAAAGATCAAATAAATCGGTTATTAGAAATGAGTTATTAAAACTATTATGTTTAGAAATGTGTTATAAATCTTTTCTCCGTTAAACCTAAATTGGGGAGAAAAAATAAACAGGCGGGCTTATAATTTTACTATGTCTACTATGTTGTTGTAACGCCGGGGGAGTGACAGAGACAACTGGAGGTAAGATCCACAATGCAGGTTTATTCAACGTTAGGCAAGCAATGATCAAACGGGTATATTTAGGCAGTCCAGAATTGTAGTCGAATAACAAGCAGTAGGTCGTAAGGCAGGCGGCTAAACAGGAGAACACGGGTAAACAAGGCTAAGGTCTAAACACGGGAAACAAGACAGGGAAAACGCTTTGTAATGCTACTGATACAGCTAACATGATGACATTTACTGGATGAGTAAATGAGTGGTTTATGTAGGGTGAGTAATCAGTCTCTGACAAGGCTCAGCTGGTGAGAATGTAATCAATCTTGATGAGTGAGCATGTGTGAGTGTGACCGGAGAACATGTATGGCTATGTAGTCCAGAGGAAGGCGGAAGTGTAGTCCATGGTGTTCGTGTGAGAACCAGCGATCTCTTGAGAGAGATCGCTGGTTATGTGACAGTTGTATTATGAACTATTGCTGTTGTTTTTTTTTTGTTTTGTTTTTTTCGTTTTAATTATATTTTTATTAATGTTTAATGACTACTTGGTTTTAATTATTTGTGTTTTTAGATGCGTTTTAGTCCAGTTATAGCATTTGGTCATTTTCATTTATTAATTTAATTTTAGTGGTTTAATGTAATTTATGTATTTTAATTTACGTAAATTTTTTATTAATCACGTTTAATTTTTTGTAGTTTTTGTTTTATATTTGTATCTCGATTTGTTTTTTTTTTGTTTGTTTTTTTTTAGCCAAGAAATTTTGTTACTAAATTGACAATTGTAGTTAACTTTTTTGGAATTACATGATGTTGAGTAAATACTTTTTTTTTTTTTTTTTGCTTTGAAAAATGATTTGAGTACCTTAAAACAGCTATTTGTTCATTTATTTTATGTTTTCTCTCATATTAATGCCATGAATAATAAACTCAGTCATTACTTTTGCAGACGGATGTAGACAATGACTTAGTCGGGGATGTTTGTGACACCAACCAAGACACGTGAGTCCTCGCAAAACACTATTCATTGCATTATACATTATATAGTAAGATCAATATTGTAATGTATATAAGACGTTTGCTGCCATCTAGTGTCTCCCAGCATTGAATGTCTCTTCAGTTGAGCTCATGTTTTAATATTGTGTTTTTCAGAGATGGAGACGGACACCAGGACACTCGGGATAATTGTCCCGATATCCCAAACAGCTCTCAGCTGGACTCAGATAATGACGGCATCGGAGACGACTGTGATGAAGACGACGACAACGACGGCATCCCGGACAATCACGCCATCAATGGCATAGGGCCCGATAACTGCAGACTCATATCCAACCCCAACCAGAAAGACTCAGACAGTAAGAGCCTTCATATCCACCTTTCCTTATTAATGAACAGACATAAGCTGAATAACGACATTCTCAGCTTGTTGAGTCTGACTTCACGCATCAGTTTTTAGGTCCAGATGGTCTAGCAGATGCCAAAAGAGAGCAACAAATGTTACTAATATGTGCTCTAGTAGTATAGTGCTACACTATAGGAATTCATAGTAAATACTATAATGTCTTCGAAACAAACTACACTACCTGACAAAAGTCTTTTCTTGATCCCAGTTGTAAGAGCAACAAATAATAATAAATAATAACAGTACAAAAGTAGCAATTTTACCCAATAAATGCATCGATAATATCCACTGATTTTTATATAGTCAATCAAATGAGCTTAAACGATTAAAAACGGCAACAAATATTTATTTGGGCCCGAACTACAAAACCAAATTTAATACAGTTTTATTATTAGTTTTGCTTAGTAAGTTGCACACTAGTTTGATCATGTATGAACATCATCATAACTATATTGTATAAATATCACTATAACTATAGGCCTACATCATCCTCCTGACAATCAAAAACAATATGACATGATATCATAGCCGATTATCTTCTGACCGAATGCACCTGAAAAGACATGAATGACACTTCTCAGAGCTTGAGAAGCATACAGTTCTTTAGGATCTATATAATTTGTAAAAATAAAGACTTGCAGGTCAAGGAAACAGCATAGGAGGAAGTTGCTGCAGGCCTTGGTGCTGATGAAAAGTAAAAAAAAAAGTATTTATAGATCGATGGGTAGCTAGATAGATTAGACAGAGATAGATTGATTTTTGCAGCAGCTGCCGATGAGCTGCTCGCTGCAGACGCAGTCAGTGTGAAAGGCAAGCGCTCTCCATTCTGCTCTCCATTCACGCTGCGCACACGCTGCTCATGCTCTGCTTGCGCTTGCAGTGTGAAACAGATGTTATGTAATCTGAGAGCTCTCTGATCCTTCATAGACAGCAATAATCAAGAAAACGTACAAACTAAATAAAACAAAAATGTTGTCAAAACATTCCATGTGTCTTCAGTAGTTTAACTGTTATATGAAGCTCCAAGAACAGTTTTGTGCACCTTAAAACTTTAAAAATGACTTTGTTCACCCAAATCTTCCATGTCCGGTCAAGGTGTGTGTTTACTACGGGCAATATAATGCTTGCTTGTTGTGCTGCCGACTTTAATGGCAATTGGTTGTATTAACCATAGTAACCACTAATGAGGAATAGAAGATACTGTGCATCTTTTTCTGGTGCACAAAAGGGTTTTTGAAGCTTCGTATGATTACAGTTGAACCACTAAATTCACAAGTTTTTATAAGTGTTTAAATTCCCTGTGACCATTGTTGTCTATAGAGGATGAGAAAGACTGCAGATTTCAAATTTTCCTAATTTTGTGTTTGAAATATCATAAATAAATATATAAGAGGATTGGAATGACACGAGGGTGAGTAATCAATAACATTATATATGTAGCTTATGTTTTACGCAGCGGATGCCTTTCCAGCTACAACTTGGCACTGGAAATCACCCATACACTCTTGCATTCACACACATACACTTAGGACAATCTCATGCCAACACGGGGAGAACATGCAAACTCCACACAAATGCCAACTGAACCAGCCGGGACTCGAACCAATGACCTTCTTGCTGTGTGGCAAAAGTGCTAACCACTGAGCTACCGTGTCGCCTAATCAGATAACAGAATTTTTCATTTTGTTCTGAACTAATCCTTTAATCCTTCCGAATAACGACACGTGAAGTATGCATCATTCACACATCATTTCTTTCATTCTGTGTTATAGGTAATGGAGTGGGCGATGTATGCGAGAATGACTTCGACAATGATTCAGTGATGGATTTGGTTGACGTGTGTCCAGAAAGTGCTGAAGTCACACTTACAGATTTCAGAGCCTATCAGACGGTCATTCTGGACCCGGAAGGTGACGCTCAGATTGACCCCAACTGGGTGGTGCTCAATCAGGTAGAGGATCATGGGAGTCCTGTTGATCTGATACGTGCTGCTCTGATACAGTTTATCCCAGAGATTCCTATTGTGACCTACTTATACATTGTTAAATGACTGTTTTTAGCATCAATTAAATCATTCGGTACCTGCATTGTTGCATTGTGGGTCCACTTGTACCCAAAGAGTCATTATTTTAGAAAACGTATAAAAAAAAGAAAGTCATATTGAATCAAAGTGGGGGAATTAATGTTCTGAATGTTTTAACAATGTTATTATTATTATTACTTTAAGAAATGGAAAATTCTTTCAAATTTCTGATTACACTTGAACTATACCTAAAACTAATGCATTATAGATGAACAGTTGGGAAATATTTGAAAAAAGGAATGAAGGTTTTTTTTTAGGAGGGCTGATAATTTTGTCTTCTACTGTATACTTTTGATTCAATGTTGACAAGTGTTATTTGATTATGCGAGTATGCACTGTAAGATTTATAAGAACTACCTGACAAAAGACTTGTCGTCGATCCCAGTTGTAAGATCAACAAATAATAACTTGTCTTCTAGTTGATTATTTAAAAAAGTGGCAAAAGGTAGATTTTTCTGTCAAATCATCTGTTGAACTGAATTCCAATCATCACAAATACTGCAGAAGACCTATTGGAACCTGCATGGACCCAAGATTCTCACAGAAATCAGTCAAGTTTGTTGACGGAAAAATCATAGTTTGGGGTTACATTCAGTTTGGGGGCGTGCAAGAGATTACAAACCACAGGAGAGGGCAAATTCTTCAGCAGGACACCGCTCCTTCTCATACTTCAGCCTCCACATCCAAGTTCTTGAAAGCAAAGAAGGTCAAGGTGATCCAGGATTGGCCAGCCCAGTTACCAGTTATGAACATTATTGAGAATGTCTGGGGTAAGATGAAGAAGGAGGCATTGAAGATGAATCCAAAGAATCTTGATGAACTCTGGGAGTCCTGCATGAACGCTTTCTTTGCCATTGCAGATGACTTTATTAATCAGTTATTTGAGTCATTGCAAAGATGTATGGATGCAGTCCTCCAAGCTGATGGGAGCCATACACAATATTAATTCTTTTTCCACTGCACCATGACTTTATATTCTATACTGGACATTATTTCTGTTAAGTGACAAGACTTACTGTCCTAATCAAATAATTAAAATTCAAGGCATGATCAAATTTAATTTTGGTAAAATAAGCATAATCTAGAGGCCTTTGCCTTTTATATAAGCCACTTCTGATATCAAATGATCAACTAGAAGTCAAGTTATTATTTGTTGCTCCTAAAACTTGGATAGGCAAAAAGACTTTTGTCAGGTAGTGTATAATCAGAAATTAGAATTTAATGCAATCTTGCATTTGAAAGAGAATGAAAGATATTGTATTTTGAAGGTCTTAAAATGCAGTGTTATGAGGATTAATATCATGATTTCTAAGCATAATAGTTTTAATAACTTGTGTATAGACAATAGGAAGCTGTAATTAAACTGTCTTAAAATGCAATGTAATCTTTCACTTTGCTTTTCAGCAGATACGTATTTAACTTTGTAACTAATTACCAGTATTGGGTAAAGTTGCTTTTAAAATTAATATAATCTTGGATTCACTTCAAAAAAGTAACCAAATGTGTTACTTAGTTCCTTTTTAAATAAATTGTGTGTAATCAGTGTTGGAGAAAGTTACTTTTGAAAGTAATGCATTACAATATTGAGTTTGGAAGCACTCTAGGGTGAGTAAATAGTGAGTAAATTGTCAATTTGGGTGAACCATCCCTTTGAATGTGGTGTGTAATTGGCAATACTGTAGTGCTCATATTAACAGATGAATTTGGGTTTCAGGGAATGGAAATAGTTCAGACCATGAACAGTGACCCTGGACTGGCAGTGGGTGAGTCTGGATTCAGATTTGAGCTGCTGAACGCAGAGCATATGCTCAAAACATGATTCACCTCTCCGCAGGTTATACAGCGTTTAACGGCGTGGACTTTGAGGGAACATTTCACGTGAACACAGTGACCGACGATGACTATGCCGGCTTCATCTTCGGCTACCAGGATTCATCTAGTTTCTACGTGGTGATGTGGAAGCAGACCGAACAGACGTACTGGCAGTCCATCCCATTCAGAGCCATGGCTGAACCGGGCCTGCAGCTCAAGGTAAAAAAAAAAATACTGCTAAATTACATTCATTACAAACTTTCACTGAAATATATTGACTCGCTAATGATCATGTGACCTCTCTTGGAGTGGAATTTCAAGACGTTGTGTTTGTGTAGGCAGTGAAGTCTCGTACTGGTCCTGGTGAGTTTCTTCGTAACGCTCTGTGGCATGCTGGAGATACTGATGGAGAGGTGAAGCTGCTGTGGAAAGACCCACGAAACGTCGGCTGGCTGGATAAAACATCGTATCGGTGGCAGCTCAGCCATCGGCCTCAGGTCGGATACATCAGGTGAGACTTCCAGCGACAGATTAAACAATACTGTTTGGGGACAGATAGTTTTTAAATAATGAATACTTGATTTTTGCAAGGACACATCAACTGAATTAAACTGCTGTAAAAATGCATCAGAAAAAAAAACTATCACTTTGATCACCTGATCAAAACTACTAAATATTTTTATTAATTACAGGATTTTAAATATTTAATTGTCAAATTCAAGTAACTGTGGACTGGATTTGTTTACCTTTTATCACAGTTTTGGATATGTGATAAAAGATTAGTAACAACATTGGCTTTGATGCAATTTTATTTTTTGTGCAGCATAAGAGTTTCAGTTTTTTCTCCCTAAGTGACTGTTTTTGCCCCATTGTTTTTTTTTATTATAACCACGTTTTTTTTAATTGCAAAGCCATGATATCTTATAATGATGCATTATTATTGTTGGTGGTTTTCCCTGTTGGGAAGAGGTAAAATTTGTCATTTGTACTGATTATCAGTTAAATTAAAGTGTGTGTGTGTGTGTGTCTGTAAGAGTGTGAAAGGGTGAGAGCTTACCTTGATGTGTCGAAAGAAAATCCGAATATGCATCTCCGCTCTCAGAACTACATGAAGTAAAAAAACACAGACTGTAGTTATAATTAAATTCAGTGGTGCAAAAAACAGCCACCAACAGTAAATAAAGGAGTAAATTTTAGTTTTTTTTAGTTTTGTTTTGTTTTTTACCCATGGGTGCTCTTCCAGCCGCAACCCATCTCTGGGAAACATCCACACACACATTTACACACACACTCATACACTACGGACAATTTAGCCTTCCCAATTTACCTGTACCACATGTCCTTGGACTGTGGGGGAAACCGGAGCAACCGGAGGAAACCCACGCAAATGCAAGGAGAACATGCAAACTCCACACAGAAACGCCAACTGAGCCGAGGCTCGAACCAGTGACCCAGTGACCTTCTTGCTGTGAGGCGACAGCACTACCTATTGCTGTTGCTACCTAGTACTAACATTGTATCAAAGCCAATGTTGTTACTAATCTTTCATGTCCAAGACTGTGATAAAAGGTGAAAAAAATCCAGTCCACAATTACTTTTTATATTGAAAATACGTCATTGTGTGTGTGTGTGTGTGTGTGTGTGTGTGTGTGTGTGTGTGTGTGTGTTTTTCCCCACCAAATCATTGGCATCATTAATTAATTAAAGAGGCAATTAAAGAGTTAAAATCCTGCTATTTTCTAAGCAATTGAGTAATTAAAAAAAAGCTAATAATATAGCTAAAATGTTTTTTAAATTCAAAAAATTTAAAACTGCTTTTGTTTAAGCCGAAATAAAACAATTAAGACTTTCTCCAGAAGAAAAAGTATTATGAGACATACTGTGAACAGTTCCTTGCTCTGTTAAACATCATTTAGGAAATATTTGAAAAAGAGAAAACATTCACTGGAGGGCAAATAATTAACTATATACCGTTATATGAATACGAAATATTGTATTTTTCAAACTGTACTCTTTACATTTTTTTTATTAAATTAAAACACAAAACACCTCTAAAAAACTAGTTGCTAAAATAAGCTTTAGTATTTTTGTATGCCACATTCTGGTCACAAGAGGGCGCAGTATAAGACTCTGTCAGCTACAGCACTGCTGTGAGCTGCTGCTGGTTCTGGTAAACTGTAGGGATGCTGGTGCTGGTAGAAGGGTTTGACTAGTTCTTCAAATGTCTCCTCGTCGCCCCCTCCTCTCGCCCCTCACACCCCTGAGACTCCGCTGAGTGGTTGGGCCCCCGGGTCGCCCATTGTTGCGGTTGCCATGCCAATGAAATCCTTGGCAAGAATTTTCTTGGTGCCTGTTCATATGCAGATCCAACGGAAACTACTGTAGTGGACGAGCCGTTAAAGAAAGCGAGAAAACCGAGCGCAGAGGACAGTTCAACACACATTGTCTATGATTTCCTGTACTGGGTAAATTCTTGGCTTTGTGTTGTAAATCAAATGATTTTAATGGCCAAAGAAATAATGCAAAACTCTCAAAATGCTTTTTTAATCGTGTCATAACAGAAATTTGACTCATTTATTCATTATAAATAGAGACAATAGAGGTTTTCCATACTCCTGTCAAGTTATGATAGTTTAGTCTGTAGATTTAAATTACATTCGAGTCCACGATGTAAAAAAAAAAATAGAATTTTGCACCGAATACATTCAATATTCAGATTTTTAGGCAGGACATTTTATGAAATGCTTATTTAACATTTAAGAAAACTTGTAATATAAGAAAATTTGACATAACCTGAGGAAGCATGAGTCATTTTTACCATGTTCGCCTGCAGCCTCCTGCTTCTGATGAACTTCTGATGCTTCCAAACTTTTAGGAACACTTTAAAATACATTTTCAGAAAATCTAGTGAACATAAATGCCTACAGGAGAATGCAGAGATCAGTGTGTGTGTGTGTGTGTGTGTGTGTGTGTGTGTGTGTGTGTGTGTGTGTGTGTGTGTGTGTGTGTGTGTGTGTGCACGTGGATGAACATTTGTGTGAGACAATGTGTAGCTGAGGCTTTGTAAGGGCCCTTTCAAACACACACACATATAAACACACCTGCTTTGTATTCAGTGAGAGGAGTGAATAGAACGCTGGACTTCACTTCGCACACACACACACACACACACACACACACACACAAAGCTCGCTCATACATAATGCAGTTGAAGTCGGGCGGCTGCTAAATCAAATCAGATGTCATTTATTATCAGGTAATTAGAGAGTGAGCAGGTGGTATAAAACAGCTCTCCGCTTCATTCACAAGAAATATTCTAGAAAAAAAAGTTGGGTCAGTAATGCTGAAGAGAAATGATCAAATGCATCCAACATATGCCCAAAAAGTGTTTATTACTAAATATTATTTATACTGTACTGGAAAATGATAGTATATTGTATTGGTAAACACACAAACACGAAGATATATCAGTATATATGTGTATATATATATATATATATATATATATATATATATATATATATATATATATATATATATATATATATATATATATATATATATATATATATAAGTGCTTCCTAGAGGTTTGGAATATACTTGCGATGGTAGCCAGATTGAGCACACCATTTACCCACATCATATAAATAGTTCACTATATGCGACAAACAAAACATAATTTTTAACAATTATTGTATTTATTATGACACTGTTATAAACTGTTTCTTTTTTAATGGATTAAAGTTTTTTTAAAAAGGCTGTTGAAATAAAATAAAGAAATCCACTATTTCTCTTACTGTTATGCTATTCAGGAGCCATGTAGACACACTGACAGGTCAAATCTGCTTCTCTCCCTTTCAAGTTCAAAGCAAACTTGAATGCCAAAGCATTTTAGATATGTATATAAAACAGCCTATGTAATGTTAACATCATCAAATAAGCAGCAAAAGATAAATAAATGAGAGGAAAAGGGGAATAAAACAGACAATATATATAAAAATGAGCATAATTACAAGATTAAAACGTGTAGATTTAAATAAGGCAAATGAGTTGAGACCAGTCATTTCATCCTCTCTGAGCATGTATTTTTTCTGAGTCGTTTGATTCAAGAATGAGTTAGTTACTGTTTCTCTTGCGGCTGTGCATGCCCAGTTAACTGCGAAGCCAAATGAAAGTAGGCTTAAGTAAAAAGGTAATGCGAAAATGCATTCAATTAACCACAGATTTAGAAAGCAAAGGACAAATCCCGGACATTTTAGGAGATTTAGAAACCCCAGCCAGACTAATTTTTTAAGTGCCACAAAGGAGCGTCTCGGTGTGTTTGCAGAACATGTTAGACTGTCTGTGAGAGTGTTGACGGTTCACGCGCGTACAGAACGAAACAGGTAAACGAGAGAGGTTTTTCCACTATTTAATCGATTTCGGATGTTTGGTCATATTGGGCGGATACAATATAATGTAAAAGAATGATAATAATAATAAAAAAATCATATATACTTGGACAGCCGATAATATCCCTATGTGGCATTGTATGTGTGTATAGTTGAAGTAGTATTATTTATTAGAAATTATATAATTTCTTTTCCTTTTTTAAATGTTTCTCAAATTATGTTCAACAGAGCAAGGAAATTTTCACAGTATGGCTGATAATGTTTTTCTTCTGGTAAAAGGCTTATTTGTTTTATTTTGCCTAGAATAAAAGCAGATTTTCATTTTTTTTTAAATATTTAAAGGTAGAAATTATAAGCCCCTTTAAGCTATATATTTTTCCGTAGTCTATATATATATATATATATATATATATATATATATATATATATATATATATATATATATATATATATATATAATTTAAAATATGTTACATGTTTACATACATTTAATATACTGTAGTTTCTCATGTACATTATAATTTTGATAGTATAGAGAATTAATGATACAGATATTTTAAGGTAATATATACATTTAAAGTTTTATAAAAATGACATTTTCTATAATATTTTATAAATTTAGATTGTATTAAACAAAAATATTAAATTACATTTTTATGTTTAGTGTTTATCTATACAAGTTTCCATTTATACAATATCAATTCGATTTCGATTAAATTACCAATTTCTATAATTTATTATCGTAATTCATTAAATACATTTTCCATAACACTTTATACATGTAGAATGTGTTATAATTAATTATACTGTACATTATAACACTATATAAGTGTGTGTCTGTCTGTGTATGTATAAAATGGACTATTAAACTAATGTTAAAGAGGTGGTCCAGAGTGTATTTTTAAGGCTTGGTTGTGTTTACAGGGTGCAAAGCAATGTGCTCATGCTTCATTAGTAGAAAGTCATGTTGTTATTTTTTTTTTATGTATCCTACTTTGATTATATACAGCTGCTCACCTAACATGAAAAGGATATTTCCTAGTTGCTCCGAAGACCCGCCCTCTAGAGGCTCTGATTGGTCAGCTAACATAATGTTCTGTGATTGACAGATCAGCTCCACATCACCAAGCCGCATCTCTGTTAAAACATTACAGTGCTTCTGGACATGCTCCTTCACTGCGCAGGGTGTATGTATGTAACCTGAAGAGTTTATGACATCATTAACCCGGAAGTATTTTTTTTGTAGTCCCCAAAGTTTGTTCGCTGTAGGCTTTGCTAAGTGTAAAAGCCAATGTCTCCCTTTGCATTGAACTTTGACCGTCTTACATTTAGAGATGTTGTTTATGTTCATACAGCTACATTACACATCAACTAAAATATGATACCATAGTGGACCACCCCTTTAAATATTTTAATGTGTTAAATTAAAACATTATACAAGCATTACATTATTCTAATATTTAATATGCGTCTACACAGTATACATTTAATAAAATGCTAGATTTAAACTATTCACTATTCATATGTACTTCATATAAATAAAGAGAACTGTGTGTGTGTGTGTGTGTGTGTGTGTGTGTGTGTGTGTGTGTGTGTGTGTGTGTGTGTGTGTGTGCGCGCAGGGTGAAGCTGTATGAGGGCTCAGAGATGGTGGCAGACTCAGATGTGGTAATCGACACCTCTATGAGAGGAGGTCGTCTGGGCGTCTTCTGCTTCTCTCAGGAGAACATCATTTGGTCCAATCTGCGCTACCGCTGCAACGGTAACAAGTCATCCGATCTTTGCCAATTATAATAACAATCCCAGCCCCTCAAACACAACACTAAACCAAATCTCATATTCAGTTGTTTATTGACAAAAGAACAGCACTACGAGCATAAAACAACACACTGACAAACCAAATGTTTTCCAGATACCGTTCCAGAGGACTTCAGTTCACACCGTAAGCAGGTTCTGATGCACATAAAGGTGTGAAGAACTCCAGTCGCCCTCCGTCTCTCTACATTTCCTAAAACCAGTGTGGAGTCCGTCTGTGTGCGGGCCAAACAACCAGACTGACCAGCGTCTGTCAATCCATCGTGGAGACTGAATGAAAAGACAGAAAAGACTTTTATTTTACATATTTTGTGCATTTGAGTCATCGTGGAGCTGTATAATGTGTGAGTATAAGTGTGTGTGTGCGTGTGTGAGTGTGTGCGTGTGTGTTTGAAATACCATTAGTGTGTATGCATAAACAATATGTCTTGAAATAAAGGTATATGATGTATTTTCTACAACACAATGAATATGTGGTTCTATAATTTTATTAATCCATTACTAAAGCAGAAGTCAAGTTTATAAATATCAAGAATGGCATTGTCCGGTTCAGTATTACATTAATGATAAATTAAGTATTTGTATTAATTTAACATTAGCTGAAATAATATAAAATTATATACATACATACATACATACAGTTGAAGTCAGAATTATTAGCCCCCCTAAATTATTAGCCCCCTTGTTTATTTTTTTCTCTAATTTCTGTTTAACGGAGAGCAGATTCTTTCAACACATTTTAATAACTCATAATAGTTTTAATAACTCATTTCTAATAACTGATTTTTTATCTTTCCCATGATGACCGTAAATAATATTTTATTAAATATTTTTCAAGACACTTCTATACAGCTTATAGTGACATTTAAAGACTAAACTAGGTTAATTAGGTTCACTAGGCAAGTTAAGGTAATTAGGCAAGTTATTGTAAAATGATGGTTTCCTCTGTAGACTCTCAAAAAATACATATAGCATAAATGGACTAATAATTTTGAACTTAACATTAAAATTTGCTTTTATTCTAGCCGAAATAAAAGAAAATCAGACTTACTCCAGAAGAAAAAATATTATCAGACATACTGTGAAAATTTCCTTGCTCTCTAGAACATTATTTAGGAAATATTTTTAAAAGAAAACCAAATTTAAAAGGGGGCTAATAAAAATACTTATTTACTGTGAAAAGTTCTTTCTAAAGTTATGGCAACAGTTGTTTTAAGTAAAATGTTAAATGAATTTTGTTCTATATTTTTTAATTATAAATACAAACATGTAAATAACATTTTAGCAGCTTTTTTAGCTTCAGCATGTTTATTTTATAATAATATTGAATATATATATATATATATATATATATATATATATATATATATATATATATATATATATATATATATATATATATATATATATACTTGTTCTTTACTCATGAAGTGCAACATATATTATGCACAGTATGAGATGTTGGCATAAATAACCAAATAATATGAATATTTTCCATAATTCTGTAGCATACATTAGATCAGAGATAACCAAAGTTGGCCCATTGTAATCTTTGATTTGACCCGCCATCCTATCTGAAAAGAGAGTGAGAATGATGGAGAGGGTTGGGGAGAATGCTCTTCGTCATTTTTAATTTGAAGTAACACTTTTTTTTTTTTGTTTGTTTATTGTTTTATTGCTGATATGCAAATGTTTCGATTAAATGTTGTAGGTCAATCTGATTTTCTTTTAAATGTAAATTCTGTCACTTAACAGATAGCGGACTATGCAGAAAACATCGATGAGCAAGTCACAGCAAAAATGATTGTATCTCCATTCAGTTAAAAAAGAAATAATTTCTGTTTTTACTTTAATAAGTTCATTATATCATGGAAAAAAGCATATTAAGTTAAAATAAAGCAATGTTTGCTAGTTGTTTTTAAATATGATAAAATAAATTATGAACTCCCCCATGACAACTATATTTACGTTCAGCCCACAAGCCTCAAACAAGTTTGGTTTTTGACCCTTCATAAGAAAAAGTTTGAGTACCCCTACATTAGATGATTGTAGTGCACTTAGCACCACATACTCACAGTGTTGTGGATCAAACACCTCAAACACCTGCTGTGTGGCGCCGCCCTCGCGGTCGATATGTTCGGCGGTTGTTGTGGCGGGAGATTACAGCAGGGAGTCGCGTGTTCCTCGTGGTCAGGGAGGCCGGGACGAGTGCAATATTGGCGGGAGATTGAACAACACTGCACAACATCCCACACCTCCCTGCCCGTAGGATTACAAACACAAATGAAGACTTCAGTTCGCTAGAGCTTCAAAAATTAACACAAACATTTATTATGTAGACTTTAATGTATTCATAGGATTTTGTTTATCTCTAAAACTAAATGTCTTATAAAACTTCTGAATATAAGTGTTGAACTTCAAAAGTGTACTGTTACACATATAATCGTGTAAAACCTTCAAGATATTAACAAACTAACCTCATGACATTGCGTAACAAGTCTAATAGAGTGGTGCAATGTACATACATTAAGTTTTTTAACATTATGGAACGAGTTTAAAGTGAAGTTTGAGGAAGTTTTTTTGTAATTGTGGCATTAATAACATTATTATCATCGTGTTATTTTGATATGACAAGAAAATAACGACATCTTAGGGTATTTCCGTTATTTTTTGTTTGCTTTTCGGTTTAACGGTGAAATCGTTCCAAGTATTCTTGGCATTGGCGAATCACTGTCCTAGACGACCTGTTGCTTAGTAACGGGTAATCTGTTGACCAACGGAAAGTGCAGCACTCAAATCTGTAAGTTACCAAACAAATGGGTAACATGTGTCTGTGAAGAAAACAAAGTCGTCTAAGATAATTAGTCCCACTTCTTTAAGGATCCTCGACAAATAACAACAATAATCATGACACTAAAACCAAACAAGCGGTTTAACGCTCACCTGCAGTTTCTCGGCGCGCTTTCACGGTACTGGACGTCGCTGTGCGTGAAGTTTGTAGCTAAACTATTTTTGTATAGTCCGGTTTCATGCTTTTGGCGCGTCTGCAGCTCTCTGGTTCTGATTTTGCCCAAAATGTGAAGGGCACAAAAGGACCTGCGGCCCCGCAGCGCCCCGCCTCCATCCAGCCAACAAAGAGCCTGAAACTCACTGATGCATGCATGCATACTGCGGACAACAGAGCAGATCACACACACACACACACACACACACACACACACACACACACACACACACACACACACACACACACACACACGAATGATGCCAACCAACAGTGTACAAGTGTGCAGCATACACTGAACTACTTATTACAATTCATTTTATAATCTAAAACTTAAAAGTTTTAATAGCTGGTGTATTATTGACGCCTTTCGCTGTTTACTGTATTCTGAAGCGCAACTTTTGTGTTTTGTTTCGCTCAAACTCAATTTACTTGCGCACGTTCATTCCGTTCTGGTCAACAGCGCCACCTCGCGGTCTGAAATGCAAACTCGCAGTTTCGTTTGTATTTATTCAAACAGCACAGCAGCCAAACATTTAGTGTAAGTGCAAATAGAGCGACCTAATCAGAGGATGGGGACTTTTTCTGGCATCCCAGAGGCCAAAGATGGACAAGCAGATCCTCAAACACGCGTCTTTAACACCAAACATAGGAAAGAGACTGCAAAATAACACAAAAACTCTCTTCTGCTATGTGCAGACTTTACATTTGTTTTAAAACAGAGGTTTCTGCTTGGGGCTGCTTCCCATGATGTATTTAAAAAAAATTAGACACTAAAATATATGGCTGGGCTGATAAATTATATATTGAGTTGCTATAAAATTGATGTCGATAATGATGATATAAGCTATAGACATTGTTTTAGATTCTCAAATAAGACTACTTATACTCATTTGAGGGACTCCATCATGAAATTGAGCAAATTGAATGGCATAATCAGAGAAAAAAAGTTTTTCAGGCATTTTGGAGTCCGATGGACAGGCAGATCCTCAAACATGAGTCTTTAACACTAAACAGAGGAAAAACACTGCAATATAGCACAAACACACTCTTCTGCTATGCACAGACTTTACATTTGTACTAAAACAGCTGTTTCTGCTTGGGACTGCTTCCCATGATGTATTTTCACATTTTTAGACACTCAAATATTGCCTAATTATTCTTATTTGAGGGACTCTATCATAAAATTGAGCAAATAGAGCGACCCAATCAGAGAAAGAGAGTTTTTCTAGCATCCTGGAGGCCAAATATAGACAAGCAGATCCTCAAACGCACGTGTTTAACACCAAACAGAGGAAAAACACTACAATATAACACAAGTACTCTCTTCTGCTATGCGCAGACTTTACATTTAAAACAGTGGTTTCTGCTTGGGGCTGCTTCCCATGATGTATTTTCAATTTGTAGACACTCAAATATATGGCTGGGTCGATAAAGGATATATTGAGTTGTGATAAAAATTCATGTCGATAACTATAACATATCTATGGACATTTTTAGACACTCAAATAAGCCTAATTATCCTCATTTGAGGGACTCCATCATGAAATTGAGCAAACAGCATAATCAGAGAAAAAGAGTTGTTGTTTTTTTGGCATCCTGGAGGCCAAAGATGGACAAGCAGATCCTCAAACACACGCGTTTAACACCAAACAGAGGAAAAACACTGCAATATAACACAAATACACTCTTCTGCTATGCATAGACTTTACATTTGTACTAAAACAGCTGTTTCTGCTTGGGACTGCTTCCCCAATGTATTTAAAAAATTTAGACACTCAGATAAGCCTAATTATCTTCATTTGAGGGACTCTATATAAAATTGTTCGACCCAATCACAGAAAGAGTTTTTCTAGCATCCTGAAGGAGATGGACAAGCAGATCCTCAAACATGCTTCTTTAACACCAAATAGAGGAAAGACTTTGCAATATAACACAAATACTCTCATCTGCTATGCGCAGATTTTACATTTGTATTAAAACAGATGTTTCTGCTTGGGACTGCTTCCCATGATGTATTTAAAATTTTTAGACACTCAAATATTGCCTAATTATTGTCATTTACAGGACAACATCAGAAATTGTGTAACGAAATGCATCTTTTTTGTATAAATACCTGATTTATACTGTATTTTATAAATAGGTTTAAACAATTATTTGGGAACTATTTCCATTCTCTTTAGTTGCATAAATGTTTTCAACTCAAACTATTTTTTACACATTTCACATTCAGTTGAATGTATATTATTTCAGCACATTTAATTATTTAGCTAGTTTTTATGTAAAGTTTACAATTAATATTTTTGTAGTTATACATTTTATTTTAATACATTTTTACATGTTTTTAAATCCCGTTTTATTTTATTATTAGCCTATTAATATTATTTTTTATAGCTTTCCTTGTTACTTTTTTAACATTCATTCATTCATGCTTTTCAGCTTTGCCCTTTATTAATCCTTGGTCGCCACAGTAAAATGAACCGCCAATTTATCCAGCCTATGTTTACGCAGCGGATGCCCTTCCAGCTGCAACCCATAACTGGGAAAGTTTTTTAAAAGTTCAAACACAATAACTTAAACATTTGGTTCAACAAATATTTACACATTTTACAATAAAAGATACAATATACAAACAATACATTTAAAAATAAAATAATAATAGAAATAAATAAATACAGTAAGTATATAATAATAAAATATAATGGAAATAAATGCATATTAGCCTATTATTGTCATCGTTTTTACTAAAGTGTTTATCTAAATGTTTGAATATTTGAATAAAAAAAAATTATCTCATAATTTTAGAAATTAAGGACACTTGATAAAATCTTTACCTAAAGCAAAAATATTTAATAAAATGTGATTAAAATTCTGGATCACACTTCTACACCATTTACAACATTCTTTTGGGTAATTTATGTAACCTGTTGCTGCAATCAACAACTATGCGTAATGTAATTGAAACAAATCCAGTAATAAGAGCGTGTGCTGTGTCTAGGATAAACACGTGTGTGTTGACAAACAGCTCATAGAGAAAGAGAGAGAGAGACTAGAGCTGCTCTCCGTCAGCTGGCGCGCGCGTGTGGCAGGTGCGCACCGCGGGTGATTTACGCGTCTTCTCCTTCAGTGCGGGACGGTGACGCGGATCACACCGCACACGAGCGCGTCACTGTCAGAAGTGACGGGGAAAGATCTCAGCGGCGGTCTACAGGAGACAGTCCTCTGATTCTGTGAGTTCATATATTATATTTTACCTGCATTTATTGTCATTAATTAACAATTCAACTAATGTGAATGTAAGTGTGTTTGACCAAACATTTAATACTGCTCAAGAGCTACTATATTTGATCTTTAGACACTGTTTTGGAATTTTTGAATGTACTTTATTTTAATATCTGTTTATCAAATATATAGGTCATATATACCCTGAATTATGACTACTTAAATGTGTCAATTTAAAAAAAAAATACAGGATTATACAGGGAGTATTTTTTGGATATTTTTTAACATAAGACGTCACTTCAAATGTTGACTATACACTGAACAAAACGATGTCTGCAAACATTTTATGTGTTGAATTTAAACAAACTAATTAAATTTAGTAATGTTCAACTTAATATGTTTGTTTAAATTCAGCCCAAATAAATTGTTCATCATCTTTGAATCATACATAAGCAATGTTATTTTCTTACAGTAATTAAGTTCACCACTTTGGATTATTTTGTGATTTAAAAAGCTACCACACAAAGAATTTAAGATATTATTTGTTTAATATAATGTTATCTTCGTAATAGTTTACAATTTTTAAAACATTTTCCTTCTATAGTTAAACAGTAAACTGAATATATCTGAACATTAAAATTAAGCCTTGTAGCTCTTTATAGTTTACACATTGCTAACTAGGTCACACTTTACAATGAGTTTGATTAGTTAATGTATTTACTAACATGAACTAATTATGAACAATACTTGTACAGCCTTTATTAATCATAGTTCAACATTTAATCCATTATTAACATCCGTATTCATGCTTGTAAAGATTAGTTATTACACCATGAGTTAACATGAACTAACAATGAATGACTATTTTCATTAACTAACATGGATAAATACTGTAATACATGTTTTGTTCATTGTTTGTTCATGTTAGTAAATGCATTAGCTAATACAACCTTATTGTAAAGTTTTACTGCTAACTATTACTTAATATCATAGAACTAATATCATATAATGATATATATAATCATACAATGATTGCACCGCTATAAGAACCTACTTTGTCATAGTTGTCTACTCTCATAACGCACAGTTGAAATGACAGTCATGTCCAGCAGAAAGGCATTGATTTTCAATTCACTGGAATCTGTTTTCTGTGTGTGAGACTGAAAGAGCAGCAGCTGTGCAGTTGAGCATTCAGTGTCCTGAAATGTTTGGTAGCCCATGAGCATTTACACCCATTTGGAGTGGAAATGAGCTCTTGGTAAAAGTGCTTGCACACCAGCTTCTACCCGTTTCCACAGTTCGTTGAACGAGGGACTGATTCTGATTCCGTCCGGCTGAAATTAGCCTGCAGAAGGAAACAGAGAGCTGTCGAGTTTCTGCTGTGTGTCTCACACCTGCTACTGTGCTGCAGAGCTTTCAGACGCAGCTATTTCCACTAGGGCAGGTGCTGGAGGGGTAGGCCGGTGTGCTGGGTGTATATTTAGACCCCCTATTTCTGCCCTGCAACTCTCGTAACTTTGCCCCGCCAGCAGTCGTCCTAGCAGAAAAAATAATCAGCTGTCACTGTTGAGGAAAAAAACACTCTGAAGCGCATCCAAAAGAAACCAGATTTAAATGAGATTTCTGATATCTGTTTGTTGTGTTTAAACTGAAAGGATTCAGCTCTGCCTTTGACAGATTGCTGATATCAGAGTTGTTGGTCAAGTGCAAACACGCATATTGGATTGGAGTTTACTCTCGCGTTCCTCCAGTGTTTGCTCTTGAGGCTTTGTAAATAACACATCGGTGCAGAGAGTCCAAACTGCCAGCACTGACAGCATTGTGTGACCATTTTTTTCAGTCAGATTGTATTACCTGAAGCATTCTGATCGTATTGCCTTGGATATCAGCTAGTGTGAATTCATGGATGTTGGTGTTGTGTGATAACATGCACACAACTGTCCATAAAATTTGATCAGTTTATAATGTGCTGCTTTCTCTTTTAAAGGGTGTTCAACACGATCAGGACATTATCAGTCTCTTGATGACTCTCAGTAACTCTTAAGGTAAGGGAAAGTTTCTAAATGATCAGGTGTAATGCTGGTGTCCTGACATTTTATCCTACCCATCAGATTATCCTACTAAAACTGTATTTAAATGGTTCTGAGGTTGCGGTTAGGGATTGGGTAGGTTAGGGAGATATTACAGCTTCATGTCCCACTACTCCACATTAAAATGTACACTGGTAGCAAAGTCTGATGGGTAACATTACATCATCAAAATGTGCTAGCTACTTTTTGAATGGGAGGTAGGACAATCTGACAAGGACAAATCGACAGAACAGTTCTGACATGATCTGATGGAGAGTGTTGTTTTGAATCATAAATGGCATGGCACAAATGTTTTTTAACATTTTCCTCTTTATTTTTGTGAGTTATAGGTGTTTTTAGCGTATTTAAATTTTTATATTGCATTTTGGGACAGTAAAATGTCTGTAAATGAAACTTTTTTTTTGTGTTTTGTGATGCTTTATTTATTTATTTATTTATTTATTTATTTATTTAATCCTCTTGAGTTCCATTATGAGACCTTGATGTTTCCATTAGCTGTATTCTTGACTATATTCTTTATTGAATTGGCATTCTCTTCATTCTCGTCGACAAATTCATTGGTTTCTATTCATTTACAAAACTCTTATTGGGAAAACTCCACTATATTTACAGTCACTTCTTAACGATTAGAAAACATCTTGAAATCTGCACTCTAGTAGTTTTATTAACCTTCGTTTATCCAAGTTTGCACTTGATTTGGTCGCTACTCTTTTCAGCTCTCTGCTGCTGATGCTTGGACTCATCTGCAGCAGACTTTAAAGCTCAACACTTATTCCAGTATCATCCTTTAAAAGTTCAATTCAGTAATAGATCACTGTGCTTGGTGACGCAGTGGCGCAGTGGGTAGCACGTTCACCTCACAGCAAGAAGGTCGCTGGGTCGCTGGGTTGATCCTCGGCTCAGTTGGCATTTCTGTGTGGAGTTTGCATGTTCTCCCTGCGTTCGCGTGGGTTTCCCCCGGGTACTCCGGTTTCCCCCACAGTCCGAAGACATGCGGTTTAGGTGAATTGGGTAGGCTAAATTGTCCGTAGTGTATGAGTGTATGTATGGATGTTTCCCAAAAATGGGTTGTGGCTGGAAGGGCATCCGCTGCGTAAAAACTTGCTGGATAAGTTGGCAGTTCATTCCGCTGTGGCGACCCCAGATTAATAAAGAGACTAAACCGACAAGAAAATGAATAAATGAATCACTGTGCTTGTTTTTAGTTTTTCCTTGGTTTTATATGTTATTATCTGCATTTGTGAAATTGTTTTTGTATTGTGTTCCTGCTGCTTCGTATCTGCTTTATGTGTTGCCTCTTGGCCAGGTTGTCATTGTAAATGAGAACTGATTCTCATTTGACTTACCTGGTCAAATCGAGGTTATTATTCGCACTTGTTAAGTAATTAAAGTATATAGCTTTATTTTACATTCATAGGAAATCCAAATCACAGATGTTTCGGCACAAAACTCTCTCAGTGTGTGACACAATATTCTCACTCCACCCTCTTTTTGTTTTATGCAGCGGATGCTCTTTCCAGCCGCTGGGAAACATCCACACACAGTCATTCACACACACACGCTCATACACTAAGGACAATTTAGCCTATCCAATTCACCTGTACCGCATGTGTTTGGGCTGTGGGGGAAACGGGAGCACCCGGAGGAAACCCACGCGAACGCAGGGAGAACATGCAAACTCCACACTGAAACACTAACTGACCCAGCAGAGGCTTAAACCAGCGACCTTCTTGCTGTGAGGCGACAGCACTATCTATTGCGGTGCTGCGTCACCACAGTGTCTATTGCAACAGCCAAAAAATAAAGTCTAGCCAGGCATTACAGAGCATGCTTGGCAAAGACTTTATTTTGCTGTATGCATTTTCCTGATATGTTATAAATATTAAATAATAATTGTCTTTAATATTCCAAAAAAGAAGTGCTTTTTTTGTCCAGTTTTTAAGTGTTTTTGTTTCCTTTATAGTGTTCTTCAGTGGTCCGAGCTTCAGCAGCTGTGTGGACACCTGTGAGCAGGCCGTCCTGCCTGTGTCTGTATGGATGGGAATGGCAGCATCAGCTGGTGGTGGGAATCACTCACACACAACATGGAGACACATTGTGATCATTGTTTTAATGGTCCTGCTCTTTAGTGCTCCATCAGGTAAAAATTCAATTTTAGCCTTATAAAAATTAGTATGTGATGTCAATAGTGTGCTACAGCCTGGGTTACCAGGTTTTCTCAACAAAACTAGTCCAATAGGCAATCAAAACTAGCCCAAAGTATATTAAAGAACACTATTTGCATTCTACCATTTATTTTTTAAATCTAAAATTATATTAAAGTCTTGTCATCATTAAAAATCATCTTAACTTAAGATAACATCACGGAATACGTTTCATCCTCCCGAAACATTTTATCATTGTATCATAATTCATTTTATCTTTGTGAAAATAAACACTCACTGGCCACTTTATTAGGTACACCTTACTAGTACAGAGTTGGACCCCCTTTTTGCATTTGGAGCTGCCTTAATCCTCTGTGGCATAGATTCAACAAGGTACTGGAAATATTCCTCAGAGATTTTGGTCCATATTGACGTGATAACATCACACGGTTGCTGCAGATTTGTTGGCTGCACATTCATGATTGTTTTTTTTCTTTGTTTTACATTTATTTTTTTTTTAAATTCCTTTTGTTAGTTTTTTATTATTGTTTTTTTAATCTTATGTGTGTATATTTTTGTGTATATATACAGTTGAAGTCATAATTATTAGCCCCTTTTTGAATTTCTTTTTCTTTTTTTATATATTTCCCAAATTATTTTTAACAGAGCAGGGAATTTTTCACAGTATGTCTGATAATATTTTTTCTTCTGGAGAAAGATATATTTGTTTTATTTCGGCTAGAATAAAAGCAGATTTTCATTTTTTAAAAACTATTTTAACGTCAAAATTATTAGCCCCTTTAAGCTATGTATTTTTCTATAGTCTACAGAATAAACCATCATCATACAATAACTTGCCTAATTGCCCAAACCTGCTTAGTTAACCTAATTAAGCCTTTAAAAGTCACTTTAAGCTGTATAGAAGTGTCTTGAAAAGTATCTAGTAAAATATTGTGTTCTGTCAAAAATCAGTTATTAGAGATGAGTTATTTCAATTCAATTCAATTCAATTCAATTCAGCTTTATTTGTATAGCGCTTTTACAATGTAGATTGTGTCAAAGCAACTTCACATAAATGGTCATAGTAACTGGAAAAGTGTGGTTCAGGTTTTAGTTGTCAACTGTATATATACACAAAATATATATACACAATATATACACAGTTCAAGTGTATATATACACAAAAATAAACACACATAAGATTAAAAAAACAATAATAAAAAACTAACAAAAGGAATTTAAAAAAAAAATAAATGTAAAAAAAAAAACAAAGAAAAAAAACAATCATGGATGTGCAGCCAACAAATCTGCAGCAACCATGTGATGTTATCACATCAATATGGACCAAAATCTCTGAGGAATATTTCCAGTACCTTGTTAAATCTATGCCACAGAGGATTAAGGCAGCTCCAAATGCAAAAAGGGGGTCCAACTCTGTACTAGTAAGGTGTACCTAATAAAGTGGCCAGTGAGTGTTTATTTAACTAATATAATTATAAATGTATTGAACAAATCTTCTCCACGTTAAACAGAAACTGGGAAAAAATAAACGGGGGGCGAATAATTCTGACTTCAACTGTATGTGGTATTTAACTTATTATTTATTTACTTATTCAGTGTGTAATTATGTTTTCCTGATAATTTCTTGCTTGGTGAATTGTATCAGTGTGTATATATATCTATATGTATCAATATTATGTGTATTTTACTGTCTGACATAAGATGAACCTAATAAAGGGGGAAAAAGTGTCAAATTGTTAACAAAGCTAATGCACCATGCTAGTTTGTTAAAAAATGTAAAACCTTTCTCCTTTTGGAGTCTGACACATTAAGTGAAGTGTAAGCCATCGTTTTTCTAAAATAAAGCATGTGTTTTCCTGCAGTATGTGCGCAGTGTCGAATCTTGCGATGCAACTCAGACTTCGTGGCTGCGACTTTGGAGAGCGGTGTCATTGGAGGAGGCAATAAAGAGGGTGTAAATACGGGATACTGCAGCGCCCTGCGATCCTACGCCCTCTGCACCCAGCGGACGGCCCGAGCCTGCAGGGGAGACCTTGCGTATCACTCTGCTGTACAGGGCATCGAGGACCTGCTCATACAATACCGCTGCCCAAAAGCAGGCCCCACGGCTCAGCCTCAGCCTCGGCCCCTGCCCCAAGCCCCTCTCTCCGGGGATGGATGCTTCTACGAGAAGGGTTTTATACAGAGGGAGGGCCGGGCCCCAGAATATCTACACTGTGGGGTGTTTGGAGACCCGCATATCCGTACCTTCAACGAGGAGTTCCAGACGTGTGCAGTGCAGGGCGCCTGGCCTCTCATAGATAACCAGTATCTGTACATCCAGGCCACCAGCAGTCCCACCAGGGAGAGCTCTGACACCACCATACTCACAGAGGTCTGGAAAACAATCACATTCACATCTTTATTATTAGGGCTGCACGATATTGGGAAAATCAAACATTGCAATATTTTGTTATTCTGTAAAAAAAAAAAAGTCCCCCAAAGAATTAAAAGCCCCAATTGAATTGTTTATTTTTAAAATATTTCTCAAATGATGTTTAGCAGAGCAAGGAATTTTTTTACAGTATGTCTGATAATATTTTTTCTTCTGGAGAAAGTCTTGTTTTGTTTTATTTCGGCTAGAATAAAAGCAGTTTTTAATTTTTTAAACACCATTTTAAGGTCAACATTATTAGCCCCTTTAAGCTATATACATATTTAATAGTCTACAGAATAATCTATCATTATACAATAACTTGCCTAATTACCCTAACCTGCCTAGTTAACCTAATTAACCCAGTTAAGCCTTTAAATGTCACTTTAAGCTGTATAGAAGTGTCCTGAAAAATATCTAGTCAAATATTATTTACTGTCATCATGGCAAAGATAAAAAAAATCAGTAATTAGAAATGAGTTAAAACTATTATGATTAGAAACGTGTTGAAAATATCTCTCAGTTAAACAGAAATTGGGGGAAAAATAAACAGAGGGGCTAATAATTTAGGTGGCTAATAATTCTGACTTCAACTGTATATTGCCATATGACTATAATTTCACCAGATGACTTCAATATCTCTATTCAGGAAGAATTAATTATTTTACATTTAGATTCTGTAGGGTGGTGCATCTGAAAAACAAATTAAAGGGCACCTACACTTTCAGAAAAAAAAGGTACACGGTGGTACGTATAATGCTCCGTAAGGAACAGTTTTGTCGAAGTTGTACCTTATATGGTACAGAAAAGACCTTATACTGTTCTGTACCTTTTATGGTACAACTGAAATGAGGGTACACAATTGTTCTCATAAAAAAGTACAGAAGTGTTGAACAACTTCTTTATTACAATATCTATGAAAATAATTATTACTGGAAAGGCAAAGTGATTTATGAATAATTTCCATATTAATACATGAATCATCATTTAAAAGCATATGTTTAAAGAAAAATTCTATTTATTGTTTATATTTATTAAGTTCTATAATACAAAACAACTGGTAAAACATAACTATAAATATTGTAAACTAAACATTTAAGGCTTTTTAAATAAATGTTTGGTAAGCATTTTCTAATAAATAGGGGCGAAGCAGTGGCGCAGTAGGTAGTGCTGTCACTTCACATGCAGCAAGAAGGCCGCTGGTCCGAACCTCGGCTCAGTTGGCATTGCTGTGAGGAGTTTGCATGTTCTCCCTGCATTCGCATGGGTTTCCTCCGGGTGCTCCAGTTTCCCCCACAGTCCAAAGACATGCTGCAGGTGAATTGGGTAGGCTAAATCGTCCGTAGTGTATGAGGGTGACAGGCCCAGACGACAGGCCGGCCGGAATGTGTAAAAAAAAAGTCATTAATATATGGACAAGTCTAAATGGAGGACTTGTTCCAAAGAGCCGACCTCGCAACCATACAGGACTAAGGCCAAAGAACAAGCAGCATTTTCTAATAAATACATTTTCATTATTGATATCTGCACCTTTTGACGTTTGCTTTCCACTACACACGTGAGCTGGCAACAGTCCTGCATATGTAAAGTGTTCATGCAGACATTTTAGTATTGTAAAAGTAATCAAACTTTCCCAGAGATGGGTTGCGGCTGGAAGGGCATCCGCTGCGTAAAAACTTGCTGGACAAGTTGACGGTTCATTCCGCTGTGGTGACCCCGGATTAATAAAGGGACTAAGCCGACAAGAAAATGAATGAATGAATGAATGAAATGTAATCAAACATTGTGCATATGTCATTACAATACTTTTGCATAATTCTATTTCTATTTTACAAATGATTTTGAAAAAGGTGCATTTACACAAAAATAATCTTTAAAAAAACATTGTTTATTAATGTATTTCAGGTTTTATATTTACTGTAAATAAATTGACACATTTTGGATAGAACAAAATGCCTTTAAATTGCTCTTGAAGGAACAGATTTGACACTGTTAAGGTAAAAAGTGTCTTGTCACTGTAGTGGTACCTTCATGGATTAGATTTGTACCTTTGAGGGTACAATATTGTATCTGCAGGTTTTAGAAACCAAAGATACATTTGGTTTCCCATGGTACAGATCATGTCATTAAAGGTACTAACTGCAATGGTACAAACTAGTTTCTTTGTCTTAAGGTACAATAAAAAGGTACTACCACAGTGACAAGGGTTTGTAACTTCTTTGGTACAACACTGTACCATTTTTTCTGAGAGTGTACAGTGTTTGTGGGTGGGGCTGGGGGTTTCAATTTTCCCGGTTCTGCACATGCAACAAATGGGCGGGGCTTGAGTTTTGTATTGACGTCACGCTGACACGACTAAAGACTCGTTACCCTTACGATTCATTTAAACCACTTTGTGTCGAGTCTTTTATAGATGAAACAACAGTTTTAAAGATGGTGCACTTTCAGATTTAAGCCCTTGCTGGATATTTGACTTCACTTTGAGCTGTGTTCCACACTGCATGGAAGCTCGTTTTTCAAAAACCCAGAGGCTTTTTCTGTCAGAGGTGTCCAGATTTTCAGCTAAACTCCTTCAACGTAAACCTTTTTATTCATTCATTCATTCATTTTCTTTTTGGCCTAGTCCCTTTACTTATCAGGGGTTACCACAGCGGAATGAACCGCCAACTTATCCAGCATATGTTTTACGCAGCCACAAGCCAACTCTGGGAAACACCCATACACTCTCATTCACACACATACACTACTGCGAATTTAGCTTTTTTATGAACATTTTCATTTCAATATAAAACTTTTTATTGTAATATAAAAGCTCCAGCTCTTCTTTTATCTACTCTATCTCCAAGTCTGCTCTGTAATTTCTCTCCTTCTAAGAGCCTGTCCAGCTGAGAGGAAGGAAGCTATAACACATTTGTCTTCTTTCACCGCTGTTTCAAACACTAAGCGTACTCCACAGCCTGGCATCTGATGATGAATCGCTATGAATAATTGATAAGCCCCGCATAATGGGGATGTGTGTGTGTGTGTGTGTGTGTGTGTGTGTGTGTGTGTGTGTGTGCGGGTTTTGAATCAGCTGACAGTTCTCTGGCCTCTGTTTCCTCCTCAGGTCACGGTGATCTTCCAGAACTGGCGTGAGTGCGCTGAACAGCAGGTTTATCAAGCAAAACTGGGCAACGTTCCTCCAGCGTTTGCGGACGGCTCTGTGACTGGCGGGGACCGCAGAGGGCATCAGAGTCTGCGTATTCACTCACAAGACCCAGGCCGGCATGCTGAAATCTGGGCTACTCATATTGGGACCATGATAATAGTGCGGCAGGTTGGCCAGTCGCTGAGCCTGTCCGTCCGCTCTCCTCGTGCCATCGTGGAGTCCTATACGCCGGAACAGGACCTGCAGTTGTGTGTGTGGGGGTGTCCCATTTCACAACGTTTAGAGATGCTGCATGCACATCCATTCGACCCCGCATACACACACTGTTCCTCGCTGTTTCCGGGGAGAGATGTGTATTTCCAGGCCTGCCTGTTTGATGTGCAGGTGACCGGGGATGTGAACTCCAGCGCTTCAGCTGTGGCTGCGTTAGAGGACGCTCGAGCCATGATTTCTGACCCCGCGAGTGTTCATTTGGTGACTGGTGGGACGGGTAATAACTCCCCGTCATTGCTGGTGGTTCTAGGTTTCAGTTTCCTTACAGAGACCCTCAGACACAGTTTTTTGGGGTCAGCGTGACATCGTGAACACTACACTAAAGCAATATTTAAGGATATTTATACTGGTGTTCATTGTTTACATCTCAGTGGTTTTGGATGGTGGTGTTTTGTAAAGGCTGTCTGGAACGGCCTTTATGTGATGATTTTGTGTGCGCGCGTGTGTGTTTCAGTGCTCTTGAAGTGTGTATGTACTACACATTTTTGGGAACACTTTTTTTAACTAATGTTAATATTTTCTCAAAGAATGATGAAATTTGTTCAGGAGTGTATTTATAATAAAGAAAAAAAATACAAACAAAAAATAAAACTAAATCAGAGATTAATTTTCATGTGAAGACAAACATAGAATTAATGATCATCAGGGTAATTTTGGTTTTAATTTTGGTTTTAAAAGTGCACATATTTTACCAATAGTGTCTCCAAAATGTGTCTGTAAAGTTTCAGCTCAAAATACCCATCAGATTATTTAACGTAGCCTCCAGAGTCCGCCTAATTTGGTGTTGTATGTTGCTTTAAATGCAAATGAGCTGCTTCTCCCCGCCCACCGTGCCCACTTGCGTGTCTGCTTCTCATCATGTGTTATGTCAGATAAACAGCAGTCAGTGACAGAGGCCCCGTTTACACTGTCAAGTCTGATTTGTTCCCTATATCTCTTTTTTTTTTTGCCTGTTCGTTTACACGTTCTTTTAATTGGGATCCATATCTTATTCATGTGTTTACACTTGCCATACAATTTACTATGTCGTGCATCCGTAAAAGCGGGTTCTAGCATCTGCACCACAGCCACGATGGACGAAAATGTCTTGCTTTTAGCTCTGCAAAATATGCGAAGTTGGCCAAACTTTAAAATGATTTTGAGGCGGAGGAGGGTGGAAATCCCCCTCACAGGGCGAGAAGGCAGGTAACTTCTGCCACTTTCCTCCTCCATGTTTCCTCTGTTGTTATTGTTGTTGTTTACCACGTCGGCGTCTGAACACACGCTCCTCGTTCTACGTCATTAAACCGCAAAGAAGTACCACAATGTCTCAAGTTTAATGACGTACAAAACGTAATGCCTTAATAAATCCGATCTGCCTGTTTACATGCTAGTCGCATTGACACATACTGTATCTGATTTATTTCCACATGTGAAGGAAGCCTGAAACCGATCTCTGAACATCCAAATGTATGCATTTTTTTTCGTGTTTACACAGTCGTAGAACAGATCCGATCTGTCACATATGAGCAACAAATTGGAAATGGTTCACATTTAACTGGCAGTTTAAACAAGGCAAGAGACAGACTCGCATGAAGCTGAAATACAGCTCATTAGTCAAAAAGACCAAGTTAAAATTCTATGTATTTGTAGAGTTTATTCAAGCCTTTCTGAAATGATGAGTCACACAAATGCTGTTTGCAGTACACACACACACACAAATGTGTGCGTTTACTGACACCATAGGGCTATGTGATTATAGCAGTTAACAATTAGATAGCGATTTTACTGACTGTATTACAAACATGCTTTGTTTTAAAACTAACATTTTACCTTATAAAAATCACAGAGAGTTTTAACAAATATTTTAATCCAAGTTTATTTACAAAAAAAAAACTTTCTGTGGACTTGTGTATACATGTTATTATAGAAACATGGCGCCTGTCAATCAATCAGTGGGCAGGAGAACCGCCCCTTCTACATAAAAATTGAAAAAAAAAAAATACATCCTTCGTCAAAATAGGACCCAAATCCCAGTGATTTTGAGGCCCACCGCAGGTAATTGAGGCCACAAAGTCAGGGAAAAAAAAGAGACTTATTGGGTTTATATCACTCCAACATGACTGTGGCCACATTATACATATACACAGTTCTGTCCAAACAGCTTACAAAACTTGATTTTCATCATAGGTGCCCTTTAAATGCTCAGGTTGTCCTTTTGTAATTTACTTTCATTTTCTTTTTTAGATTTTCTTTTAGATTTTGTTTAAATGTGTTAAAAGGGATAGATTATTCTGTCATCATCGCTTCACCTGAGTTTCTTTCTTCCACTGGACACAAAAGGAAATATTTTGAAAAATATTAAACTATGTTGACTTACATAGTATTTTTTTCCTGCTACGGACATCAATGGATTCAGGTTTTTAACATTCTTCAAAATATCTTATTTTGTGTTCAACAGGATAATGAAATGCATAAAGGTTTGAAAAGGGTGAGTGAACGGTAAGTAAATTTACATGTTAGGTGAACTACGCTACCAAAGTTAATGCGTTAATGATTTAATTGAAATAAATGTAAACAGTAAACCTGTCTCAGGGTCAGGGATGTGAGAATAACCACTGTAAAATTAACATACTAATCTTGAGTTTTTAGAATTAGTTATTATAAAGAAAGAAAAAGTCAAAATTAAGCCCAAGACTTACTTTAATTTTAAAATGAACTGTATTTTGCTTCATCAAATCATTTATTATTTAATACAATCATTTATACACACACACACACACACATATATATATATATATATATATATATATATATATATATATATATATATATATATATATATATATATATATATATATATATATATGTGCATCTGTTGCTGACAGTTAAACAGATAAAATCTAAACAGTTTTTGTTCGATACTACCATATGGATGCGAATCACATACTTGTGTGTAATCAAAAACCGATGACTGATATCATATCAGGCCTGTAGCCAGCCTGGTAAAAGGGGTGGTTCTTTTTTCTGAAGAAGTGGACCTTTTTGCAGTTGTGTGACTCATTTTCTATTTCATTATGAGATTTAAATACATTTTAAGCGCTATTTTAAGCTTGATTAGCTTTTCGGATGGTCATCATAACCACACCTTTTGATGTACCAAAATTTTTTCTAGATTTAAAATAAAGAAATATAAAAAAAATACTAATTTTATAATACTAATTTATTACATCATAAATCATTAAAAAAAGAACATTTTAATCCAAAACAAGACTATTGCCATGTATTAGTAAAATTATAAATAACAAACTGGACAGAATATTCAGCTTTCCTCAGTCAGAATTTGTTAATTTGAATGATAATGATAATAATAATATTAACAATAATAATAATAAATAAATATATAATAACATAAACGTAGAGCTTCACAATTTTTCTAGCCTCTCTTGTAAAAAAAAAGTCATGGATAACAACAATTATATTCAAATAAAATTTTAATTTAATGGTTTTCAATGGGTTATTTCCACTATTTATGATGGAATAGCAGTCAAACTAACTCATGTATGGGACAAATTCTGGACCTTTGTCAGTAAGGGGTGGGTCTTTCGAACTTAAATGTTTATGTTATAATAGTTGATCAAGAGCTATCTTTTCCCTCAACTCTTACCTTAAAGTACCATTCACTTTAGTTTTTGAGGTTATTTTTTAAAGTGTTATTAATAAGCAGTAGCCTACTATTACAGACAGAGGGAGTTGAACATTACGCAAGACCCACCTGCCTAGGACGAGACTCGGTGGAGATTTATGAAGGAGGTAAGCAGCTGTTTGTTTTTGTATTCTTGTTGTGATGTTATATAAACAGACTCCTCCTAAACTTTGTGTATGAAGTATGTTGCCTGGAAATTACGTATGCAGTGAAGTACGTTGTATCAGACAGCAGATGGCAGTGCTCAGCCAATCAGAACAGCCCATGTGAGACACGTTTCAGAGCATGTGGACTGTTTGGTTTGGTCATCTCTGATAAACACTGGGCATCACTGAACCTGTCTATCCTGTCTGATTTATCTCCAGAGTTTCATAAAGTACTCAAAATTTGCATCATATTGTAATATTTTAAATATGAACGGTAGTACCATGGTATATTGGATACCTACCACGTTAAGTAATACAGTACCATGGCAATGGCAAGTTTATGACATGTTTCAGGGCAATAGTGGTGTCTACCAAGGTAAATAGCATTATTTTGTTGTTTTGGTAGAGGGTTATACCACAATTTTGGAAGATGTATGTAATGGTAGTCTAATATTTGCCAGAATAATGCCATTCTTTCTAGACAAACGCAATTATATTTTGTCTATTAAAGGGAAAACATCAGTTCGGAAATAAGGATCATCATACCATACATTTTGGACATGCATCAATGTGATATTGTAGTTTCTGACTACATAGCAGGGTAATACGATGGTTTCTAGAAATGCATCATATCAAAACCATGTTATTTTGACAAATGCTGTAATTTATGTTTTTATACATATACCAAAGCAGTACTATTGTATTTTTACAATTTACATGGGTAGTACCATGGTTTTTGGGCATTCTAGGGCAACGCCATAGTATTTTGGATATGCATCAATCTAATATTGTAGTTTTTGGTAACGCTTTCTTTTACAACCCGCAAAGTACCGCGTAAGTACAGTGAAATTACAGTGTACTTTTCTGTACGTACTGTGTAAGTATAATGAACGTATGTGTAGGTATGAGGGAACAAACCGTAATGCTTGGGTAAAAAGGGGGTAACAACCAGATGTTCATCACGAAAATGACCGCGTAAGTACAGTGAAATAACGGTGTACTTTTCTGTACCTATAGTGTAAGTATAAATAACGTTTACGTAAGTATAAGGGAACAAACTGTAATGCTCGGGTAATAAGGGGATAACAACCAGATATTTAGCATAAAAGGTACCGCGTAAGTACAGTGAAATAAGGTTGTACTTTTCTTTAAATTGCAAAAGAACAAACCATAATGTTTGCATAAAAGGGGAGTAACAATAAGATATCCATCACGCAAAGAAGTATATTAAGTTTACGATGTACATTTCTTCAAGTATTGTATACATATAAAGAATTATGCAAGGATGGTGACAACCTATTGCTATCTGCAAATGTACTGTATATGCACCTGCGTGAGTACATTAGTATTCTTATTCAGTGCTTGGGTTTTATATGGGGTGTTTAATGAATAAAAGGTTTACAGCCTGTGAAATTATGAACCCTTATTGTATACTGTATGTATTTTAAATCTGCAATTCAATATAAAATATATTTCCATACACTACTTACCTTATGTTTACTCGTCGATCTCACCAAAGCCATCAATGTCTCCATAACTCACTATCAACAAATAACTTGCATGACATAGGCCTACCGTCAGGGTTCAATGCAGATTAAAACAGGCTCGCATCTTTACTGCTGTTGCACAGGGGGGCTAACTGTTGCATTTCAGTAAATGTATAGCTGATGCTTTATAGAAAAATCTAGTAATTTGGTCTTCAATCAATAAAAACTGCTGCTGTAGTTTACTCTGTTCTTAGTGTTCAAGTATACA